AGCGTCCCGAGTAGGAGAGGTAGGGGGCAGTCATTGTTGTCACGATCTCATGCCCAGACTTCAGCAAACAAACAACCTCACATTATTCCATTTAATTCGATCTTCACGTGACCATTAGAATCGGATCGAAATATTTGAATCATGAGTTTCGTGTGCGTTGCTTAGTATAACGTCCCTTCGCTCTTTACTTGTGAGCACTAGCTTCAAGGTACTTTCCGTCTGGCCTTCACACTCAAACCACTTACAGAGCCTTATGACCTGAGCACTATGTGTCCCTAAAACTCAATCCGTCAGTACCTCTCTGATGGCAAACCCCTATAACTACAGATCATGTGCGTGCCAATTAGTAGAGTCATTTTCTTTTAATTTCTCCAGATCCCAAATAATCAGATTGGGAACCTATCTGACCTCCTAAAGTCATCTTCATGGCTTTTGTTGTTTTCTTCTCACTAACTACCGTGCTCTCTTCTTTGTTTGTCCTTCTAGTTTTGACTTTCGAACAAATTAATTCATTTACGTCATCGCATTTTTTCCGGTGAGAGTTGCATTCGCCTCATAACCAGTGGTAGGAGTTAATGTGCCTTGGACGAGTGGTAATTTCCTTGTCTTGAGAGAGCTGGACTTATAACGGCTACGTGTAGTAAAGGCCTAGATAGAGGTTTTTTCTTCTCTGCGTATGTTTATAGTTGCTTACTTAGCCTCTAGACAACAAGAGCTGGTTCAACGGTACTACCGATGACACTTGTTGCTTCGTTATCGTCTGATATCAGAGCGACTAAGTGGATATCATCATTCAGAAACTTATTAATGAAAGGGAAAAACTTTAAGTTCTCATCAAGGAGCACCATTTTTCCAAGGCACTATAACCACCGTGAGTTCGGTTTACAACATTGTGAATACTCGAGGGCGATAAATCAGTATAAAATTAATGAAACCATTTCTTAGTCTTCGGAACGAAATGACTTACTCAAGCATTCTATGAACCATCAACCACCCACCCAACGATCTTTAAGCCAGAACTAAACAAGGACTCAGGTAATCAAGTACAGACTTGAATAAATTGCCGAAAATAGAACAAACAGAAAAAACGTTCTACGGGCTTCCCGACGCTCTTGATTCCTGTAAACACATAAAAAACATCTAATCACTCCTATAAGAAGGCTAATCCGGACCTAAAGGTGGATTGCGACTAGGAATCATTTTATTTTCATAAGGAATAGTGCAGACTCAGGATATTCAGCATCAAGGTGATGCTTCATGATCAGACTGCATAAAATAATGAGTCAGTTTTATAAGGCCCTATTTTATTCTCATGTTGCTAATATAAAATATTTTAGTCCACTCCTATTTAAGTGCACTTTTTTCACGCTTATGTTTCTTTACTTAACGTCCTTCAAAAGGCCAACCTTTCTATCTGAAGGTCGAGGGCTGCTCGTGTTTAGTAATACATTGGTTTGGTACGCTTAGTTTGTGAATTTATGGTGATTACAGCTTGCTGTAAACATTTTCAAATCAATATTTTCAACTGAAACAGTTTGATATCGTTCTTGTTTGAAGCACTGGTTAATCTTAGATATTATCAAATTATATTCTTCAGAGGACTATATTCATTGATAGCTAGTTGTAAACCTATAATCTCACGTTAACTTAAGTGAGCTGCGGCTCACTGAAACGCTCGGAAACATGACATTTACTACACTAAATCACATGCTGAATTTATTCCTCCATAGTAATGTTTTCAAACGATGTTAGACAACTGAGGCACAAGTAAATTTCCAATTAATACCGACAAAATGTCAGGTACGCATGTCGATTTCCAGTCCACCATATACATTGTCACACCTAGTGCATGTATGGATCGATTCAAGTCGCGACATCACATTAATACGGTAAGATCAGTCTTTCAGGATGTCCGAATATTGTTGTAGCAATATCAGTGAAAGTAAAACAGATTAGGTATGAATATTATTATATAATGGTCTAAAACTGTACACCAATGTGAAGATTCAGGGTTGTGCTTTTGCCATTGTCCATCATGTATTTACCTACTTATGCTTATTATCCTTTCTGGGACGTAGACCTCCGACCACGATTCTCCAACCAACTCCGTCCTGGGCTACCCTCTCTATTTGTTCCCAGTGGTTGTTCTCCCTCTTGATGTCTACCTCTAGTTCTCTGCGCAATATGTTCTTTCAATGTTAGACCGGAAAACATCTAAACTTCTAAAAACCTTAGTAACTACTTCGGAACTGTTGAATTTTTAAAAATCTGTGGTTTGAATCCTTACAGTGCAAGTCATTTGCGAAGCAAAGACTTTCGACGACTGAGATATCCATACGGAGTGATATACTTCATGTTTAAATATTGTAACCGAAAGACCTAAAGATATATCATACTCTCTTAATGCGTTGTGCATATGGGTCAGAAATATTTCATGTGTAAATTACTTTCGTTAATGTTTCTGTTATTCAATTCACATCTGCCCCGTACTTTTCGCCTTACTGGTAGTAAAACATATTCCTCTAAAATGTCTGTCGCTCTACTAATATTAACAATTTGTTGCCTAATTATCATTCACAGTGTACTGTACTCAATTCACTGTTTTCAATTAAGTTGACTGCCTGTCTAACCACAACTAATCCCGCTGCTACACTTTTACAGTTTACTGTCTCGATGCTATTTCTATATATATCTCCTGAACATGAACGTGCAATGTTAAATTTGAAAGTATCATTTTATGATTGAATTTACTGTCTTTTGAACCCTTTCAACACATTCTCCGAACCTGCAAGTAACCTCTACTTATTAGCTTATGATTTGTTTTTGTATTAACTGTTAGTACGCTTTTGTTTTTTCGGTTTTAGAATTTTTTAGTCTATTCTGTTTTATCCGCCACAAAGTTTATGAAAGACCATTATTTTTGACTGGATATATTTATGTTGTCGTCACTTCATTGTATATTTATTCACTGTGAAACCTGGGAAATCCGTACGTTTACCTTCACGTAAATTTTCTCATTCTGAAGATCAGTCACTCCAATAAGTGCTATTACAGAGTTACTATTCTGTATTTACGGTCCGAATAACCCCTGAATGTGTATCCAGATGTAAGTACTGGTCATAACACAGGAAACCTTATCTCAGCTTGAGTGTTATGCTTACATACTTTGCTCACTCTCTACTAGCATAGCGAAGAAGTTGGAAAAAATCACTATGAAAAGGACGTCCAAATTGAAAACCAAGCGGTCTGCGAATTGTAGGGAACAGTTTTAACTTGGGTGTTGGTAATGAAACATGCAACTGTTTATTTGACGAAATGGACAATGGCTGCAAAATGTGTGTATAAAGGTTTTATTACCGATGTCGGTCCTACCATGCCAGCGCACATAAACTAAAACTGTCTGATCGCTTAGCGAGACCACTGCATATAAACGGATTGTGCTCATTAATAATTATTTTGGTTATAATACGGCTTTTATTTCCTAACAGTTTGGTGTTTTTTTTGTAAACATCACATCTTAATTCCCATATGTCTCAATTTCAACAAATTTTGAACTAACTAATTCTATTAACATGGATGTTTATGGTGGAGTTTCGTTCTCTAAGCTGGATGGCTTTGTTGTGTGGTTTTCATTGTTTTGAACATCAACCCAGACTTCAGGTAGAAGTAAGGTATTCGAATTTTTCCACATGACTCCCAGTGTGTCTTGTTGGCATCTATCTTGATTGGTCATTATTGACCTTTAGCTTGTCATTGTCTGCATCTTTATTTCGACTGCATAATTTTAGGCTGATGATACTGTTCAGAAAAACAATGAATACTCCTTGATAAAGAGAAAAAAGCTCCATCGTACTCATCCAGCGGATCTACAAATTTTTTCCGACATGGATCTTGCGAAATAACATGAAACGAAATGTAATCAACTTACCATATTTTACGAACATCTGTTAATATTCAGTAACAATACTTGGCAATATCTAAATTGGTAGGGAATCGAGTTACTGAGGTCTCGTAGCGTAGCGTGAGTCACTTCTTCAGAAAGTAAACAAATAACTAAATTCTATTAACATAAATACGAAGGGATGACTATGTGTTTAGTATAATCAAAAGCAATAGATCCGGTACTCAGACAGACAGATACAACGCAGAACTTCGTACACAAGTACATAAGTTCAGGTTGCCATACCACGTCAGCACAGAGACGTAACTGTCAGTTCGAATCTAAGAGTGATAGCGATATTAGAATTATTAGCAGAAATGGAGCAGATTAAGGAGCGAAGATATGATATAATTCCGGTTCTCACTTAATCTGAAATGATCGAATCAAATTTTGGTTGTAATATGAACCAATATTATGTTGTAAAAGCATTACTGCACACTGAATATTTATTTATTTAACCACACAATTATTAGTACAAAGGGGCACCTAAGCATTTATGCGTCACCTAAATCACTGAATTCGTATGTGTGCCTGGATACTGACCAAGTGCTCTAACCGAAGCAAGAAACACCAGATAATAACTATTAAAGGTGTATTTATTGGTATCAAGTGGTAAAACCTATATTTATCTCCAAGGAATGTATATTTTTCGGAAGGAAACCTCACAATGATAGGATACACTGTAGTGTATGGTTCTATAGTACTAATTAGTTGCAGTCTTGTGTAAAAATTTGTAATAAATTTTTGTTCATTTTGTCTTATAGGAACGTCTATTTAGAACGTTTTTCAGATGCATTATGATTATCTCAACTCACCACAAAGAAAAGGAAGATTTAACATCGCGTAAGTTTCTTTCTAGCCAATCTGAGCTTTACGTCACTACTCACTATTTTGTAAGCTCTTTTTGGTTTAGTATTTCATAACCGCGATACTTTTTAATAATGCTCTTTTCAATATTTGAATTTTCAGTAGTTGAAACTTTACCGAGAGATTCATTTGTTACTCCTTGACCTTAAGGCCTCAATCAACTCTGTCGATCGGAATTGATGACATCGAGCAGTGTCATCGACGTGCTTTTACAGTTGACACTTTCATCATCTGACTTTCCAAGCGATCGACTTACTAACAGAAGATTCATTTGTTGACTTACAGTATGCTGATGACGTAGTTGTGTTTGATGAGGACGATGAAAAAATGCAGGATTTTCTGACCATCCTAAGCAACAATCGAAGCATGTTCGGGATGCGATTCTGCCAATCGAAAGGCAAAATGTTGCTTTGGGATTGGCTTGCTCCGGCCCCTGAACTAGTGATAGGGAGTGAAGTAGTTGAGTGTGTTGATCGCTTCACTTATTTCGCGAGTCTCATCAGTGCTGATGGCTTCGTGTGTGACGAAATCTCAGCATGGATACAGAAGGCTCGATTGGCTTTTGTCAACCTGTGTCACTTATAGCGTAGGCGAGATATCCGTCTACTAACCAAAGGACGAATGAAATGCTCAGTAGTTCGCTCCGTCCTACTTTATTGCTGCGAGACATAGCCAGTCAGATTAGAAGATATTCGTAGGTTGCTTGCCTTCGATCACATGTGTTTCCAAAGCATTGCTCGTATATCCTGGGCCAACCGAGTAAGCAATGCTATAGTTAAGAAATAGATACTATGTTAGCATGGAAGGTCAACGGATGAAGTATCGAAACTTCATCAGTTGTGGTTGTGACATGTGTTACGTATGCCCGATCACCGAATGCCTCGACGAGCTGTTTCGGGTGTAGTATTAGGCTGGAAGAAAGGTAGGGTCGGCCAAACCAAAGCATGGCGCAAATCTATGAAGTCACTGACAAACGGACTGAGCTGTGTTGGTAGGTGTAGACTGACATGGCTCAAAACGTTTGCAACGGCCCAGGTGCATCCATTCTCTGCTTTCTCCCAAATTCAAATCTAACCTGCTCATGACCTTCATCTTTCTCGTCTCAAATCTATTTCACTGGATTGTACTTCTTGAATAATATCTTCGAACCCTAATCTCTCCGATTACTGCTAATACTTTCACTACCTCTACGACTAGGGGATTTGAAGTGGCAATTGCATCTCTGTGGTAATTTAGTATGGCAACTTGAACTACTGTACGTACGTGCGAAGTTCTACGTTGTTGTTGATTGATTGATTGTTTTGTTGCTTTAATTTTTACCGTATTAACTAAAAACATTAGTCTTTAACTCCTGTTTTTCTAGTTTAATGACATGCAACTTTGAGAGGGTATTTCCGGCATTCTCGTGAGTAATCTTGACCAGTATAATTCAACCGCCTTGAGCGTGAAGCATTTACTCACCACCGACAATGAAAAATGCTTGTACAATACCGTAAATTGATTAACCTATATAAACCATCGAGTATTGACTCAGTAGTCTAAAGAGTAAACTCTCATTACGAAGCCTAAAGGTTCTGAGTTTGACCCCCCATAGTGGGGTCGTGGATGCACACTACTGAGGATTCTCATACTAGGAGACAGTTGTTCAGCGTCGTATGGTTGTCTAACTTAATTTGGTTCTTAATTTCAACATTACCAGACAATCTCTACAAACCTCATACTGGCAGTTTCGGAAAACCCATTGTACAGTAAATGTACACGGATAAACAACATAAAATTTAGTAGCATCAGAAATTATTTAATTACTAAATTGCAAAGCTTGTGTAGCTGTTTATATATTGGCTTTGTGTTATTTTCTTTATGAAAATACCTATCCATCCATGGGAACCATATAAATTGTTATAACCCGAATAATCAAGTTACCTTCATAAAATTATTGAAAGACAGCTTTTGTCACTAATTGATATCAACTGAAGAACTATTGAAAACCCGGATAAATGACAGTTAACTGAAGTTTCGTCCTAGTCCATAGCTCTTTAACAATGAGCGTTCTCAGTTTCACATTTGAAGCCAACTCAGGACCTTTTAATTCTCTAGCGAGCATAAAACACCTATCAAATACTGTTAAAACCCAACGATCTATACTTTACAATGTCAATTTATTAGTAATATATAAAAACAATAAGAAATTAACATGAAATAGCTGATTTCGCTATTTCTAATATAACTATAAATTATATAAATTATTTGTGATTAACTGTTCCCACGAATTCGTACTTTGGTTGTATAACCATTAAAACCTTCGTAAATTGATTTAAAATGCGATCATAAGTGGAATTTTTGTAAAATTGATGTCTAAAGTTATGTGAAAAATTTAGCCCAGGTGGGAGTAAGGCTACAAGAGTTTTTAAATCCAGAAAATGATCTCATTATCTCACAATTACTTTCAGATCTTCATTTCAGAAAATGTCAACTCTAACTTATCGATATTATTTTGTTGGTAATCTTTTTTACGGCATATTGTGTTATCATTTGATTTTAAGTTACCATTCATTACTTTTTCATCCCTGATGCTAATATGAAGCATACATCTTTTACTATGATTTACATGGATTTCCATTTTTCATTTATAGTACACTTAATAGCGACCATGTTTTCGTAGTATTTATCCTAAAAACTGATACAAACGCATACGTTTCTTTGGCCTGACGGTTAATGATATTAGTCAGCTTCTCTGACTAGATCACAATCGTGTTATAACTTCCTACTCAATGTTTAAGTTTTTATTACCTTCTAATCAATAAAACAATACCCATTATTTCCAACAATGAATATAAATTCGTTCAAAATCATGGTTAATTGTTTATAATTATATTGTAATTTAATTTTGTTTTTTAGCATGGTATCAGATTTTTGTTATCCAAATGTTGGTGGGGTAGAAAGTCATATTTTTGCTTTATCTCAATGCCTTATTCGACGTGGTCATCGGGTTGTTTTAATCACCCACAGTTATGGATCTAAAGGTCAACAGCGTCAGGGTGTAAGATATTTGCCACGTGGACTTAAAGTAGGTGCTTATGAATGTGACCTGATTCTTAATTGAGAAAATTTTATTTTAGGTCTATTATATTCCAATACAAACGTTTTATAAGCAATCAATTTTTATCACAGTTCTGGGCACATTACCAATAATTCGTGAAATAATAATACGTGAACAAATCGATATTGTACATGGACATTCAGTATGTTTAAAATAAACTTTAAAGGTTATGTCAACTTTTATGGTGTTAAGTAATCTTTTAAATAAGCCCGCATCTTGTTTTAATATCTATCAGGTGTAAAACAAACACGGTAATGGACAGTAATATATGTAGCCTATGTAATATGTCTCTTTATGGATATTAATAGTTTGAATCTAAGTGTGAAGAAAATATCTCATGGTTCAAATCATTCAATATCATGCGATAAAAAATGTAAATGCGTCACAGGAGGTAAAATCGTCATTTTTTTTACATTCACTCAGTTACAACATAAAACTTCGTACGTACGTACATCAGTTCAAATAGTCATACCACATTACCACAGAGGTACAATTGTCGATTCAAATCTCAAAGTGGTAGAGAAAGAAAAAGTATGAACACTATTCGGAAAGATCACGGTTTGAAGATATTATTCAAGGAGTATAATCCGGTGAAATAAATTTGAAACGAGAAAGATGAAGGTCATAAGGGGCTCAGATATAAATTTGGGAGAAAGCTGATACGACGAAGAGGCATCGGCGAGTCTCCCTATCTTTCCGAGTCCAAACCGTCCGGTTTAGTCGGACAGCGCATAAGCGACTGTCTATCGGGATCCAGTCTAAGAGAGCTAGTTCTGCCCTAGGACTTAATACTATACCTACGCCGGCAAGGCCACGGGAGTCAGCATCAGGGCTACTAGAATCACGAAACGTAAACCGTGTTGTGTCTCTATCTGCACTAGATGAAATTGAATTCATGATTTTACTCGAATCTTGTATGCGCATTTCGGAGACGCACCGGATTCCAGTTCGAGCTACGGAGGCTTGTTGCCTTATTTGGCACAGGATTCGAACCTTGAAAGCTCCAATATGTATTTAAGCATGGGGTTTCAAAAGACCAGGAATAACGTTTCGTGAGCTCAAGCTGTTTGCTTCAGTGGTGCGAAGTGATAAACGATCGAAGAAAGAGTTATTAGGAGGTGTATAAATGATTTGATTTTGACCGATTCGGTCTCGTGTGCTGTTATGGGTATGAGGGCGGATGTAACTCCCCGGCTGCCCACACCGTGGTAGGGTTCTGTTTTTCAAAAGGGACATCGGCCTGATGACTTCCGAAGGGACTCGGCTTTCATCATGAGACGTCATAACTCTTCTATATGCAGACCTTCTAACTCCCAGAGCAGAGTTTATGTGGTTCGAGTTATTTTTCTTGTTAACTTATTTTTATCGAGTTAGTTTTCTGCCCGACGGGGTCGTCATCCCCAATCCAAACTCTCCTCCTTTTTCCGGGCTTGGGACCGGCAGTAGCCGCGAATGGTCTACAGACGGAGTTTATAGCCTAGTTTTCTAAATCGAGGTGTTCAAATTACACGGCAGAAACTCGTAAACAGTCATAGTTCAATGCGAGTTTACATAATCGTGTACGTATTGGACAGATCATACATTTCTGAAGTAAAGATGGCTTCCATTAATTAATAAAATTTATACAAACTACTTAGCTCAAACTGACCAGATTTAGTGGTTGCTTATATCCAGTGAGATTGGTCGTTCAACTTTTTACACAACTGGTAATCGCGATTTTTCGATTTACGTATTTACTGGATAGACCTCATAGGCTGTGAGTGTGTCACAGATTGATAATCTTTGTATTTTCTTCAGGTTCTCCTTCGCTTCGTCAAAAAAATGAGAACACGAAATTTGTAACTTTATCTTAAAATGCATATGCGGATTTTAAACAATCATTATTTTTCTTCTTTGTTGTAGATATTTTCGCCTTTTTCCTGTGAAGCCATAATTCATGCACAGACCCTTGGCTGTCGAACTGTTTGCACAGAACATTCACTTTTTGGTTTTTCAGATTTGTCAGCAATAATTATGAATAAAGTAATGGAAAGTGTGTTTACAGCTGTAGACCAAGTGATCTGTGTTTCACACACTACCAAAGAAAATGTAGTTCTTCGAGCTAAATATGATCCTGAACGGGTTTTTGTCATTCCAAATGCAGTGGATGCTTCTTCGTTTGTTCCTGATCCGTCTTGCCGTGATCCTAACTACAGTTAGTAAATTGTTTGGATATTTTGATGCAGTTTGGTTTTGTATTTTTGAATATTATTTAGCCTTCCCTAATTTTAAAATGCACATTTTACAGCCATCAGCAAAAACAGAGCAAACTACTGCTCATTATAATCGTCCTTTGTTTACAAAAGTGCCACTCAACTAGTCCACGAATGCTACAAGTTAGCAAACGTTATCACGCTTTTCGAATTCGTACTGAAATTTTGTCAGACAGCGACCCACACCGGTCTTCACCTCGAACAACTCTGTCAGCTGTTCTGCGTTCACAATTTTGCAGTTTAATCCGTCGTAAGAATTCCGTATGATGTTATCTATCTTCTCAGGCACGCTGTAGTGTCGAAGAAACCTCCATAGTGTTTTCCTGTCCACGCTATCAAATGCTTTCTCGTAGTCAATAAAGTTGATGTAGAGTTCATTTCAATGGACTGTTCCACAATGATCCGAAATGTTGCAATTTGGTCGGTACACGATCGATTCTTACTAAACCCAGCCTGTTGACCTCGAAGTTGAGCGTCTACGAAATCATTCTGTCTAACAATACCCTGTTGAAGACTTTGCCTGGTATTGAGAGGAGAGTGATACCTCTGTAGTTTTCAAACTTATTGAGATCTCCTTCCTTTGCTATCTTGATCAGATGTCCTTCTTTCCAGTTTGTCGGTAATTGTTCTTCATCCCAAATCTTGTTAAAAAGAATATTTTTGCAGTTGCTGCCACGTCTGCTTTCATTGTTTCATAAATCTTGTAAATGATCTGATCGCAGTTGTTTCCTTATGTCATTACTACGTTGGCCCTGCTGCCACGTCTACTTTCATTGCCTCTACTAGAATGTTGTCTCGTCCCGCTGCTTTGTCGCTCTTGACCTGTCTGATGACAATGCTGATCTCTTCAACTGTTGGTGGGCCAACATTGATTAAGAGGTCAGTGAGTGCTGTTTTGATGTTGGGTGGGTTCAGTCGGGCTGGTTACTTTTCCCTCCTTGCTTTATACTGGTCATTCTGGTTTACGACAGTTTCCAGCGAGCTTCTTTGTTGTATCATAGAATTGTCTCATCTCCCTTCTCTTACAGCTTTTTCCCCCGTCACTGCTAGATCTTCCATATATTTCTGTTTGTCGGCTCTGTTGCTCTTCTTTAACTGATTGTTCGCTTCTGTGTACTCAGCTTATGCCCTGTCCTTCTCTGCTCTTGTTCGGCTGACATTGATTGTTGCCTTCTTGTTTCTCCTTTCTTGGATTTTTTCAAGAGTACCATCAGAGATCCATTCCTTTGTGATGGTACCTCTTATTGCCTAGAACCTCCTGACATATTGAAGTGATTGCCTCCTTGATCACTCTTCAATTGTTCTGCATGGTAGTTTTCCCTCCATTGAGTATATCGTGCAAGGCCTGGAACCTATTGGTGAGGGCTATCTTGAATTCGTTGAGTTTTAAGGTATCCCGAAGAAAGGTCGTATTAATTTGTGTGATGTTATCTGCCCCGTTATCCGATGTTTCTTGAGTTTCAGTTTTATTTTAGCGACCAGCAAGTGGTGATCTGAGGCAATATCAGCTCCTCTCTTGGTTCTCACATCCTACATGGTCATTCTGAACTTTTCATTGATATAGATATGGTCGAATTAGTTCTGTGTAGTGTGATCTGTTTAAATCTATGTGGCTTAATGTATGCGCTTGTGTGGGAATGTTGTGCCGCCTATGACCATTTTGTTAAAGGCACATAGGTTCGCAAATCTCTCAGCATTTTCGTTCCTTTCTCCCAGTCCATGTCGTCCCATGATGTCTTCATATCCAGTGTTGTCCATACCAACCTTGGCATTTAGGTCTCCCATCAGAATGGTCAAATCCTTTGGTGAGCATCTGTCGACGATTGACTGTAGCCTCTCGTAAAATTGATGTTTAACGTCTTCATTGTCGTCGTTGGCAGGTGCATAGTATTGGATGATGTTTATTGTAATTCCGTCTTTCTTTTTTTTGAAGGATGCTTTGATGATCTTGGACCCATGAGTTTCCCATCCTATCGGTATGTTTTGTGATTGTTTGGATAGCATCAGTGCAACTCCTTGTGTGTGTGAGGTGTTTTCTTTTTCATGGCCGGAGTATAACAGCAGCTCTTGTGAAGCCAGTCTCAGTTGTCCTACTTGTGTGCAATGTGTTTCACTGATTCCAAGCACCTCCAGGTTGTATCTCTCCATTTCTGCAGCAGCCTTTCGGTCTCCCACATTGTTCGAACATTCCATGTGTCTAAGAGAATGGTTGCTGTGGTTGTTGGAATGAGTATCGGACTTGTGACTTCCGAAGGAACTCGGTCTTCATTATGAGACATCATAATGCTTCGGAATGAATACCTTCTAACTCCCATGGAAGAGTTATGAGGGTTTGAACTATTTTTACTGGTTAGCGTTTTTTAGTGTGTTAGTTTTCCACGGAGTGCGGTCGTCCAACCGCCCTTCATGATTCGGGCTTGTGGCCGGCAGTAGCCCCAGAGGGGCTCCAGATGGGGTTGTGAAAATGGCTAGTGAAGGATAAATAAATGGTTTTCTTATCAATAGATATTTTGTATTGAAATTTAAATATATACCTATTGTGACTTTTTTATTTCAATTATTTATTTTTAGTTACTATTATTGTGGTTTCTCGTCTAGTTTACCGAAAAGGTCTTGATCTATTGGTTGCCATCATCCCACCGTTATGTTCTCTATTTCCAGAATTAAGATTTCTTATAGGTATGTTACTTAATCTTAAAAAAATTCATAATATCCTTCTATTTCATTCGGCTAATTTCATCTAATCAACTGATGTTAAATAAATAAGACTATAGTGATTTAATTTTCAGGTCATATTTAAGATACATTGTTTGGGTTGCGTAAATCTGATGCATGTAAATCGAATTCCTAGCTTTACTGTGTAATAGTAGTAATATGCTATAGTGACTAAATTAGATTTTATATACATTTATCAACTAGTCACTCTTCTTCACAACAGTACCGGTTTTTCACGGCTGTTTTATTATCATGTCTTTGAGGTTGTACAATCTCCTAACTACAACTTATGAGAAAGGAAACCAATATCATTTTATCTGATATCTTACCAATTAACTTAAATTATATTTTTAATCCTATTGAAATGATCATCAACTAAATTGCCGTTACGATATCAAACTTATCTTTCTAGTTAATCACACAGGGAAGAGATGGTTTTGTTCACTGTATTTTAGTCGAATTTAAGCATGTATTAGCTTCATGCACGAAAGTATTACACCGTTCTACAAACATGATTAAAACATTTTATCCATACTTAATATGACAAAATCTTTCCCTACATAGGCAGTTATATTTCTCAAACTTCTACTGACTTCTAAATGTTACCAGGAGTGATGGAACTAGGTTCATCTAACAAGGTTTGTTTCAACTATCCAGAAAATCAAGTCTGGTGCATGTGTAACATTGTTTCGAGTGGGAAAGCACGTCTATAAAAAACCTTCATCTTGGAGGTACTATGCAGTCTAACCTATGATGTAATCGGGTCATGTAAACATCTTGATATATTGTTTTAAACTGTAAGATAGCGTTCCCCAATTTCTCCATTCTTTTCTGATATAATCATTTATGACACTTTGTAAGTAGCGCTTAAGGTAGTACGTGTTAACAATACAGACATATTTTATATAGAAAGATCATAATTTCTATAATATAACATTTTATTTGTGCGATAACATACATGCTACCCAAATTATACTTGAGCCATTTCAGTTCAGTATTTATGATTACATAGCTTTTCATCACTACATTTCAAGGGTCTCATACAAGATAGCCTGGAACATCTGTCTTTTGTTCCATGTGATTTGTTCCTTTAATGTTTTTGTACCGTTTTTGATAGATGCAATTGATTCTTTGGATAGCTAAGGTTGCATTTATCAGTCTCGTTTATTTCCCATCACTTTCATGACATAAGCTTGCTGATGAAGGATGAGATTTTTAAAGCCTCTGGTTTAACTGACAACTTCAAGACATTTTTTAATCAAGCTAAGAGTTCTTTATTAATCCTTATGCTTGAGCATCACTGGCGACGGAGAGCAGCAGGCCCTGATAGATTGACGCCTGAGACTGTTAAAGATGGTGGGCCAGTTTTAGCAGTTAGGTTGATTAAGATCTTAAGTAGAATCAGGGAACCGGATGCAGTCAAATCCGACTGGTCTCAATCAATGATCATCCCGGTCTATAAGGAAAGACAAAAGTCTTCTTGTGAAAATCACAGGGGAATCAGTTTAGCTAATTTAGTATCTAAAATATTGAATTCATTAATACTCTGAAGCCCAACTAGAGCTCGTGAAGAGCAGAGTCGAGAAAAACAGGCTGGTTTCAGACCTGGACGTGGCTGTATAGATCAGATGTTCTCACCATGTCAGGTCCTAAAACATCGACACACTGTTCGACTTCTGAAAGCAGTGATACTCCTTGACAACCTTAAGGCCTCAGTCAACTCTGTCGATTTTGAGGTTCTATGGCAGTGTCTGTCATTGAAAGGAGTAGCAGGGAAGCACGTTTACCTTGTACATGCTCTCCAATCGAACACTACCGACCGAGTAAGAGCTTATAGCAAACTGTCATCGGAATCGATGACATCGAGCAGTGTCATCGACATGCTTTAACAGTTGACACTTTCATCATCTAACTTTCTGAAGGGGTCAAATTTTTACCAGGAAATTCATTTGTTGTTATGTTCTCTCAAATCCTAATCTTCTAAACTCCTCATCATCTTTATGTTTCCTTTTTTTAATTTCACTGGATTTTACTTCTTGGATAATTTCTTTTAACCTTATTGATCTCGATTACCACCAATGCTTCTACTACATCTACCACTATGGGATTTGAATCGACACTTGTATCTGTGTGCTGATGTGGTATGGCTAAATGTCTGATCATACATCCATAGTTAGTAGTCATGTAGCTGCTTATGACCCACAATTGTGGTTTGTAGTTTCCTGTTGCTTTTACTCTTTTTGAAAAATATTCACTATCACTTACAGTCCGATGTTCCTCTTTATTTTAATCAAATAAATCCTATGAAAATGTTGTAGAAACGCACCCAGTTATGTCCAAAACGCGTGTGGTTATTAGTTTGATTTGTTTTAAACAGGACGTAGATTGGCACAGATGAGAAATTATTTTTTTGGTGTTATATTTGTTAAACGTCGTAGTATAATTATAAAGCTTTCATTATTTTTCAACAACATTGTCAGCGTATACATCAAATAGAAGTAAGCTATTTGGGATCCCGCACATGTGGCTTACAGCCTACTCTTGAATTTGATTCATTCTTCTTGATGCTGATCATATCACTTCTAACTGCAGTTAATTTTCATATTGCTGATTGAAAACATGATAAATGCGCTAAGATTAAACCGAACAACTCAGAACTCATCATTATAAGTTACAAATCTCCACTATCTCAAAATTATGTGTGAAATATTATGTATTAATCTATTTACAATGTATGGTTGTAGGCGGTGACGGACCTAAAAGACTTGAGCTAGAAGAGATACGCGAACATTATCAATTACATTCACGTGTAAATCTATTAGGAAGTTTACAGCCTCATGAAGTTCGGCCTGTAAGTTTTTTCTTAATAATGTTTGTTTGTCTTGGTTTGTCTTCTGATTCAATACAACAGTTTATTTTGTAAAAGCTTCATATTATGGAAACAGCTAGGTATTTTCAATCAAATTACCTTGCTAAACAATTCTGTTAGATTTCAGCTCCAGTTGAATGAATCAGCCACTGATAGGAACTTGTATAAATTAAAAACTAAAATTATCATGGTATTTAATTCGTTGTTGCTGTGATATCAGCGAAGCAAATAATTCTAGGACTGCAAAAGCACTCAGATGTTCTGTTTATTATTAGTTGTTTATTCATTAATATACATTTTACAGACAAGTAAAATTGAAACTTTGTATGATAACTTTGTAGTACTATATATTCTATAATTTGTATTCGAAATTTATCAAACGCTTCAATCAAGTTTGTCATAGTAAGAACGATTGTAATTCCCAGTTATTTTAACGTTTGCAAAGATATTAGAGATAAGTTTCGACTCGAACACTTGATGAAACAATGATATTTTGTTTTGTGAAATTCCGTAATTCTAAACATTTTTAGTTGGTAAAGTGATACTGTCCATATCCTTAGGTGAACTTTGCTACTGCATCTCCGATATTACTTGTAGCGTACTTAACTATTTAACTGTATCGTAACAGTTTAAAACTAAAGCTAATTAAAGCTGGAAATGTTTAACGATAGTGTCTTTATTTCATTCTTAGAATAAATCCTAGACTTAATAATAGAGAGCAGTATTATGCATTTTTACTGATAATTCTCAGTTGTAACTAGACACGTATGATGTTGCATAAGGTGAGTGTTGTTATTATCATCATTACATTAATTAAAATTACATGAACCACAGGGAAAAAACACTTAAAACTCATAATTTAACGTACGAATAATTTAAGATTAAATTAAGAATACATGTATTCGGAGAAGACAGTTTATTTACAATATATGTACTCAATCCTCAAGAATCCATTTGGAATGAAAGCAGGCTTTTAACTGTCTTCTCTCAAATGTTTTCTCGTTTTAATTATACTCAGACTGCCATATAATTTGATCCCCAGACATTTCTCTCTAGTAGCAACTTCTAGGCGATGCTCCTCTGCATACTATTTATATGCCACTTTGTGAGTAGCTTGCACCACAATAGTACCTTTTAGCTTAACCTCTTTACAGTATTGTTTTAAGTTCCAACTTCCTTAAATTTTTCTCGCTTTGTTCTTCAGCTTTTAATACAAGGCGATATCTTTTTAAATACTTCTCTAACTGAAGCTTTTTGTATAGCCATTCTTGAAGCAGTCTCATGTGGGTAAGTATTCTTTAAACTAAATTCACTGTTGAGTAGGAATTAAAATAATTGCAACTTTACTACTAACCATTGTTCTTTTGTGTACAACTGATTCCGATTCTTATTATTACAAAAATTTGGAATCCAATCGAAGTTAAAAAAATTAATAGCAATTTTATGATCAATATTTAACTTTTTAGCAGCCATTGGCTCACCGATAATTATTACAAGCATAGTTGTTAGTAATTCAGAGTTGTTTTTCACATATTCTTTTGAAACAATGTCCCTTAACTTAAGTTAACCTTCAATTCATTAGGCCACAGATGAAAATATGCGTCACTCACTTCGATTCACCGATCAGCTGGAGAGTACTAGCAATCATGCTATGATTGTAGCTTAAAGTCAAATGTAGGAACCTGTGACTAATAGATAGTTTTAATCTAGTGTATAACTTGACTATATTGTACAGCATATCTATACTATACTTTAAATGACGTTTTTCATATCATTTTAAATTTAGTTTTCAAATATTTTGTGTGTTTTCATAACATGCCTGAATATCATATTTTTACGAGAAAATAAGTAATATTATACCAAATGTAACCATCGATGAGGAATTATCTCAATCGGATATTAACTCTATAATCGTTGATATGTTTTATGCATAATTTAACACCCTTTTACCATCACTATCTCATTACAATTCAAGTGCAGAATCAAAATCAAATTAACAAATTTCTTTATTTTATGTGTTGCATATTTAATGTCATATAACTTTAAAAAAGGTTTTGATCTATGTATTTCTGTCACTTTTCTTTAATAATGGATTGTAAATTATCAATGACCATGATAAACATTGTAGAAAAATTGACTAGGCTGTTATATTTCTTACCTACATCAACGATTTCAATCTTTTGAACCATATGAAATCAAATTATGATGAATGGTAGTTTTTTCCTAGTCTGAGAGTCTATAATGAAAATCTGTATTCTCGTTTAGACTTTAACACAGATCTTCTAGTTGTAGTAAATAAATTATCCACCTAATATGAAGCTAATGATTAGTGCTTCTCTCAACCTGTATAATGTAGTTCAACAATAACATCACATTGGAAAATATCTGTCTTCAGTTTAATTTATTTTAAAACCTGGACTTTTCATACCATTTAAAGCTCAAAAGTACACTGTCGATCTAGTGTAGATTATCTTGTGGCATACGCCTTAGTTATATCATAATTTATTCAAATAATCTGTGTACTAATTAATTATAATATAAACTTTTCTTACAGTCTAATGGTTGTCAGTACAGCAGTTGGAGGACTTCCAGAAGTATTGCCTGAGCATTTTATTAGACTAGCACCAGCAAACGCTTCAGAATTAGCTACTGTTGTTGCCGACTCTATTATTCAAGTACGGCGGCAACGCGAAAACTCAGGACTTCCAACTCATGAACAAGAATCTACCAATAATTTGACTTTCAATAAAGTAATTTTTTCTACTGATTGTTTTATTTATTAATGAAACAGTTTTTGTTCGTAAACTGTATTTGATGTCCATTATATGCATATTAAAACATTTTTGTGCAACCTGTAAATCGACTGCTAATAAAACTTTAGGATATATCAGTAATATGAAACTCGTTTGTGGGTTTTAACATGATCTTTATTGTGAAACGACTGAATGTACCTATATTTTGAGGTAATTTACTTCTTTTGTTTATATGATTTGTGTAAGGAGGTGAACAAAGTATGCACTCATCAGTCACTAGATTACAAGCTTCATCTTATTTCCTATTTAATTCATTATAGTTATCTACCTCATAGTTATCGCATAAAAATTACATTTCATTTCCTTCTGTATGGTTGCGCGATAGTACTTGAAGCCTGAACTGAACATCAGCTCTGAGATACAGGTACATCTAGTTGATAAGTTCCAAATCAGATGAAGCGCATGTTCTGGATTCCACTACTGTCCGCTTCTGCTAGTAGTAGTGTCTTGTTTCGAAAAATGTTTCGTACTGTACATAAAGTAGTCGCAGTAGAAGTTGAGCTTCAATGAACCAGAATTTTCTTTGTGGCGAAGACCACATTAAAAACTGGTTTTTCAAAGTTTTATTGTATGGATATACATGTATGTTACACAATAACAGTTTAGTGTTATTTGCAAGGTTCTATATTTTGCTTTTACAAATAAAATTCACAACCAGACAGACAGATACAACGCAGAACTTCGTACATAAGTACATCATTTCAGGTTGCCATACCACATCAGCACAGAGACGCAACTGTCGGTTCAAATCCAAGAGTGAAAGCGATGGTAGAAGTATTAGCAGTAATGGAGAATATTAGGGAGCGAAGATATGATTCGAGGAGTATAATTCAGTAAGATAAATTTAGAAGTAGAAAGATAGAGATTATGAGGAATTCAGGTTAGAATTAAAAAGCACACAAAGAGTGGATGCACCTGCGCCATTGCGAACGATTCTGAGCCATGTCGTTCGAGGTCTCTAACCATTGGTGACTTTCGTCTTGCAGACCCCGACCTGGTAGCCTACATCTACCAACATGACTCAGTCCCCTTGTTAGTGACTTCATGGATTTCTGCCATGTTTTCGTTTGGCCGCCCCTAACTTTCCAACCTATTCCTACACCACAAAACAACTCGTCGCGGCAGTCGGTGGTTAGGCATACGCAACACATGTCGCAACCACCTCAACTGATGAAGTTTCACAACTTCATCTATTGATCTGCCATCCCTACCTAGATCTCGTTTCCTAACAACAGCATTGCTTACTCGGTCGTCCTAGGATATAAGAGCAATGCTTTGGATACACCGATGGTCGAAGACTAGTAACCTACGAATGTCCTCTACTCTTAACGTCCGTGTTTCGCATCCGTAGAGTAGGACGGAGCGAACTACTGAACAGTACACTCGTCCTTCGGTTAGCGAGCGGATATCTCGCCTACGCCATAGGTGACGTAGGTTGGTAAAATCCAACCAAGCCTTCTGTATCCGAGCTCAGATTTCGTCAGTCACCAGGCTATCAGCACTAATGAGACTCCCCATATAAGGGAAGCGGTCTACACTTTCGACTACTTCACTCCCTATCACTAGTTCAGGTGCCGATGCAACCCAATCTTGAAGCAACATTTTGCATTTCGAGAGGGCGAACCGCATCTTGAAGATGCTTGCATTGTTGCTTAGGGTGGTCAGAAGACTGCATTTTGTCAGCGTCACAACCATTGCACAAGATAAATGCTATCTGAACTCTAGCTCTGGAAAACGTGTTGACATCTGATCCTATAGATAATGAGTTCAAGTTTTATTTTAAGTGTGAACTTTGGGATTCAGGTACTACATCCAGCTGACAATTCTCAAATAGAATTAAATGCGCATTATGAATTCCACTGCTATCCTTAACATTTATAAAATCCAAGTTATTTATTGGTTTATCATAAACATTAGCCCTTTTTTAAAATCTTATTTATATACTCATTTTACCAAAGCTGGAAATATGTACGTCACCTCCAAATCCTCTTTGTCGATTTTCATTGATTGCCGATTCATCTACATACTTTGATGGTACTGAATATAATTGTAATTCAATCGCCGACCATTGTTGGCATATGCATAAATGGATTCATAGTATGTATTGTTGGCCGCTAGTTGCTAAACGTACGGAAAAAGTTTATTCTGCTGCTATGTCTAAACCACCTGTTTTACTACACAACAGATTCTCGAGGTAAGAATATAAACTGAGTTTCCAGATGTTTCTATGATATTTGGGTTAATTGATTTCAATGTTTAACTTTTGTACTGAAAGTAAATGTTACTCTCAGGAGGGCGATTTCATCCATGAGATACTACTATACTTACATTAGATTTCATGTTCCAACGTATATTTTTTCAATTGCTTCGTTTCAAATGACGTTAATAATATGAATTCGGATGATCAATGAGTAGTGTAGATTAGTATCTTCAAAAAAAGTATAATTTTTTCTGTTTCTCAATAATGAGTTCTAGTAGTTTGCTTGAACAATCATATTATTGTACCTTAACTTCCTCAGTCGCTTTCTCAACTAATTAGTGATATTAAGCCTGAAAACTAATCACCAAACTGTGACTCCTTTCACTCAAATAATAATAAGACTGAAAGCAGCAAATATTTGTGTTCAAGCCAATATAGTTACAAGTGTTATTATTTCGTTCTGGTGTATCCATTTATAAAAAATGAACAAAAAACAAAAACATTTCTTTCAGGTTTACTAACACAAATTCTATCTATAAACCAACTATAGAACACTGCACAAATCAATAAGGCGATTGCGTAGTCAAATGTGTACCGTTTAAGATCAATAAATTATACTCCTTGTACAAAAGATGAAATGTAAGAATTATGTTTGTGTCTAGACATTAGAAAGCCTCGTACCTTCTCATTTGTCATTTCTGTCTTGAAAGTTTCAATTGGCGTGTTTTACTTTGTAATAATAAAGCCAATGTCTGTAAATATCAACTGTTCTTCCGTAAGTAATTTGATTCTTTTATAAAGTAACTTCAAATAACTTCAACTTCCACTTTCAGTTTGAAATAGATGTTGACGCAAATCGATAATTCGTGCACAAATATAACCCTCATTTTCACCTTCGATTATTGTTTAACTTGAGTGATCGCGTTGTTAATTAGTACTCGATTGACTGAATAGTTAGAAACGTTGTGAATTACACAAATTTATTTAATGTAATTATATTGACTCAAAAGTTACGTGGCTTGAAATCATACAATACAATATAATCCACTAGCCAACTTACAATATTAGTCGCGTTGCATACTTTATAGATATTTTTATTCCAGCAATCTAACCAAAAACATTAAAGGTAAGATGATCTCCATAAATTATATATCATCAGCCACCGAAAATCAACTGTAACAACAAATGAGTAATGTGATTTTCGACATATTTTGTATCGAACGACAGTCTGATCTATCTAATTCATACCCAACCTGAACCATCTTTGGCACCATCTCGATATTAATCTGGCTGTAAAAGGTCGGGTTCATAACTTGATAGTCACATCAGTTCTTTTGTACTTTTCGGGAAGTACGATCCCTCTGAGTTAAGGACATTAGTTGAACTTGTGTTCACCTGCCTGTCTTTGATGGCAACACCATGTTGATGATGCTGGTGATCGTCGCTGTGTGTTCAGGTCCAATAGCAATAATTCAGTTACTAAACCTACTTAGAAACACTAACTTCGGTGTCTTGGAAATGTAAGATTAATGTTGTTGAAGCGGCCTTTATTTTTCGCGTTATTTTCCCACACTGACAAGGTGGAAAAATCAAAGTGATCAGTTTTTGAAATGAACTAGTGATATGAAGGTTGGGTAGGTCGATCCACCACAACTCCTTGTTTCAATTTATAGAAATTGCATAACTCATCCGTTTAAGATGTTGTCCGATATAGCTCTAACTAAAAAGTCAGTAAATATCGTACTGTAGTTTACCTTTAGGTTCTTCATAAAAGCAAGACGATTTTCTTTTTTTTTTAAAACGTTTTTCTTGGTTATATTTGTAACGGAATTGTACTTCCTATGAAATTTCTTGATTAGAATACCCTCCTGTATTCCTTCAAAATACTTTCACTTCATTCGTTTAATACATGCTCTGTATAGTGGCATATTTTACTACAATCTATAATCAATGTCAAGTCTTATCTTTGCTCAGTTTCCAAATACTTCATTTTCTCAGTTAACTTTCAGGGTTTAATAAGTTTTAATCTAGTTTTAATTTTATATCATTCAGATTGTTGAAATTAGATTTAAGATACTTTGCTTTTTTTTCGTATCTATACGTATATGTATGTATGTATATCCTTGTTTATTTCTTTTAATCCAGATTGTACCGACTTGGTCCATTTACGGGGAAATTAACGTGTTTTGCAGCTGCTTTACACTGGCTTCTTCTTCAGTTTTTAACATGGCTTAGACCTGAACAGGTGTGTATATTTTGGAAAACATAGATATAGTTGTTTTTTCTGTATTTTATTTCAATGAAGTTTTTATGGATTCACTTCTTTTTGAGAGTGGATAGTAATTTTATCATTGATTCTCTAAAGATTACTCATGCTAAAGTTTAGTTAATGATCCATTGAAATCCAAATAATCGGGTCCACACAAATCAGAACCGATTCCAGAGAACTTGCTAGCTATGTGGGGATGTACTAAATGTAATTCAGTCTCTAATTATTACGTAATAATTTACTCAATATTAAGGAGCATAATCTATGAATGTTTAAAATTTGTCGTCCAAACAAGTTCTACATGTTCCTACCTCTTGATGAATGAAAGACAGTTTTTAAATGTAAATTACCCTTAGTTGAATAACGTGATTTAATTTGATATTTATTTTCTTGTAGCCGAACTAACTAAGATGGGGACATGTGGGAGTTGACCTTAGTTAAGTGAATAATTCAGCTAACAAATGTTATTATGAAAACCAACTCGATTTTTACTACATTGAGGATTGAAAACTCTTTAGTTATCATTACACTGAATGGCATCAATGAAATCGTGTAATTACTTCATGATACAGATATCAGATGAAAATGAATATTTCATCTTGGTTATTTCATAAATGTATAATATTGACTTAGTAGGCTCGTCTCCTTTTGTTACCGTGCTTCTAAATATACTGGCACTCGCTTTGTTATTAAGTTAGTACTTTGACCCATAGACACAGTTAGTTTTATACTGTCGTAACACATAAGAGCAAATGTTTAAAATAAGGCTAATTTGGCTATTTTAGTAGATTGGATGGAAAGCTTCTTCACGTTTATATTTCATATTCAAAATCTTTAATGGTTTTTTTCAAAACAGAGTTTTTGTCACTTCAGTATATTTCAAAAAAGGAGATAGGCAGTGATCTACCTCAGATATTTCAAAGCGGTAATATGTAATGTAATATACTACTGATTAGCAATTTCTTGAGTTCACCAGTGCGTACTCTAACAGTCAACACTGGACCAGCACTCAAGTAAGAAATAAAACCTTAGTACGCACAAGCCTATATTGCATTGAGATTAGTCTAGAGTGGTTAGTTGTGTACCAACCAACAGTTATTCCTTCTTTAATGTTAGTAATTGATAGAAAAAATATCCTTCTTTATAACAATTCATTCTATTATTCTTTAATATTCAGATGATCGATGTTATGCCATCACTTAAAACGCCTATTGAAGATTTAAGTGATAGTGAATGTGAGGAGTATTCTGTTGATTCGCACAAATAATGTTTCGACGGTGAATAAATTTTTCAACTTATCCCTCTTTATGTTCAATTGTATTCAGATAATAACTTTATAATTCTTCTATGCATAATTTTATTTTCAATAGCATTGTTTTATTTTTATTTCATTTGTTTAAACGTCAACATTATTCTTTTAGACATATAAACTCAAACTGTTTTGTTTGATCCATTCTAAAATATTGCAACCAAGAAATATCGTCATTTGTAGTAAAATAGCTAAGATAAGATCGTTATGAAATCTGAGTCAGCGTTGTCTTCAGTAAAATTTTAGCTTATCACTTAAGACGCACAGTTACTGAAATTTAATTAAAGTGCTATTTCAAAATGAATTAAAATGCATTCATATTTTACTTTTTTTAAACCGTATACATAACGGTTTCACAAACATTTGATGGAGATTAATTACGGCGCAATTTAAATTTTGTGTTGTGACAACGTGGAACAAATCATGTCAAGTCCTTTTCGTAGCAGTGATCAAAGCCATAATTCACTGATTTATGACATAATCTTCGTCAGCGTTTCAAAGACTGAGAAATCACTTCTAAATCTTAAAAAATATTTAGCGTGCTGTCGAATAATTGAGTTTCTGTAGCGAAAATACTGTTATTCTAAAACAGTAGAACACATACTAATCCATGAAAAGTAACCTTATCATATCAATGCTAAATTTTTTAATTTTGTAATTCATTTAATGTTCTTAATCTACAGCAGTTTTGTGATAACTTACGGACTGTGACATCTAAGTCGCACTATATATTGGCTCACTTATCTCGTAATAGATTTTGCTTGCTTCTACAGTAGACTTAAACAACAGATAGGATCTTTCCGGTTAAACAGCATACATAAATTGATAGCAGTAAATACCCAAGGCGATAAACTGCTCCATGTACTGGTTTCATGACGTACATTGATCGACCTGCATTTGTTAACACTGACCTTAACTGTCTTTCAGCGATCATTCAATGTTCATTGATTAATCTCGTGTAGGGGTACCCTCAGTGACTATAGATGGTTCATTTTGGCTTGTTTCTTAAACAACTTCTTTCCACACAGACGTTCTACAGGCTCATTTGTACTTCTTTATTCATTACAAAATGTTGAATATCGTCGTACATGGTTTTCATGCTGCATTGATCATCTTTCATGAAATACACATGCTGTGAAAATCACATTTGATTCTATCTGTTTATCACTCCACCAGTAAGTTACTTGGATACTTATTAATTAACCTTAGTTGATCAACCGGCATGATCTTAAATCATTTCATACTTTCAGCATGAAACCTTCATAATTACTTTCGGGCTTACCGGACGACCAACCATTAATCGTATACATGTAACATGGTTGTAATATAGTTTTGTAGGTCACTGATATTGATGTTGGACATATGAGTTTACTGGACACATTACCATTTGAAGACTCTAGGTTAAACATTTACACCAAATAATGTCTGAATATACTGTGCATAACATCTACTAGAAACTTCCAGCCTAGATTATATAAAATGATACTTCAAACTCTCTAAGATCGTTCTTGGAAGCTTTGTGTAAATTTGCATCAGGATTGTTTCATGTACACTTCTAGTGTAACCTGTTGTTTTAATCCTGAATGTGACGTTATTCTTCTTGATCCCTTCAGTCATACAATCTGTTGATATTTAGTCAGTGCAAAATGAGCCGAAAAGGTGACGGGAAACTACAGGGTACAGTTATTTGGTTTTTATTCTTTCATTTACATAAACTGTTCAAACTGCCAGAAAAACTACATCAGACGAAGTGGACGGCCTCTTCAACTTCGCTTACGTGAACATCAATTAGCAGTCAAATGCTTTGTCATTCCTTCTCTTACATGCGAATAATTGAGGACATACATTCGGTTGAAAAAATCTTGAAATACTGAGTAGAGGGAGCAAATAGAACACTAAGGATCGATAAATACGTCAACATTGATCTAATTTATCAACCAATCAGAGCATCATCGTGTTGCTTTGTGGACTATGCAAACTTTCCACCAAGAAGTGTACTTCTTATACTACACAGTTTCTTACAGAAGTCTACTGACGGTGCTTTACATTACTTAGTATACGATTGTTATGCTTTTATTTTTGTTAGTACACTACAGACAATATCAATCAGCGCGTCCAATCATACGATTTGATCCACCAATGTATTTGAGTAAGAACAAAGTTTCATAATGTACTTATTTATTCAAACGGTAGAACTGATAATACGCACATTAAATTTCTGGCAGTGGGGCTGATTATTCTGAAGTACAGCACAATACATTCATCGTCCAATTTCAACATCTTATTATGGTGTCGCGGCTCAAAGAACAGACAATCGTGACCGTCTGTTGCAACTGTGCTCAGACAACCACCTATTTCTAGCAAACACTAACTTCAGGCATAAGGAAAAGCATCTGTTGACCTGGCGACCCCCTAAGTCGTCTCAACGTTGGACCCAACTAGATCACATTGCCATCAGCCACCGATAGAGGGGTTCGATAGAGGACTGTCGCTCGTTCTGGGGCACATGTTTAGATTCAGATCATGCCCTAGTGCGAGCTCGTATCTGTTTGAGGCTTACTGGACGTAGGAAAGACACCGTAAGGAAGCCTCTTAGGGTTTTACTAAATGATAATCAAACCAAGAAAATATTTCAGGAGCAACTAGAAAGAGAGTTAAGCAACGATGTAAGTGATTCCCATCCGGAGGCAGGTTGGAATGATATCAAAAAGGCTGTGGAAACAGCAGTGATATCTGCTAGTAAGGTAAACCATAAGGCTAGGAGGATGAAGCCGTGGAACTCAGTAGCATCCACTGAACTGATAGACGCTCGTGAAGTCACCCCACCTGGCTCTGAACATGATGAAGAGCGAAGTCAGCTTAAGTGCAGGCTCATAAAAACCTACGCAATGTTCGCGAACAGTGGTGGGCGAAGTGAGCGAGAAAGATGGAAAAGGCAGCGTCAACAGACAACGACACAGCTTTTTCGCCTTATCAAGGAAACCGGTATTAGGAATCCGAGTGAGAGTGACACTATCTCGAAAAATGATGGGTCTGTTATTCCTCCTCAATCCCGAAGATAGGATCGATAGGGAGAACATTTCAGGGATCAGTTCGACTGGCCTTCATCCACGATTCCGTTGCCCGAAATATCCAATCACCCTGAATTCTATATCGAGTCTTTATGAGGTTGAAGAAACTATAGGAAATCTGAAGCCTGGGAGAACAGCAAAACAAGTCTAATGTAGTACCTAAAATATTTTCCTCGCTCATACTTCGACTTACGAAAGATCATGGTGAGCAGTCTAGAAATAGACAGTCTGATTTTCGACCCAGACTTGAATGTATAGACTACATTTTCACACTACTTCGGGTCTTAAAACAAAGATACATGTTCAGATATCTGTTTACATAGGCAGAATTGGACTCTGTTGATCATGAGATTCTGCTACGTCTCCTTTCATTAGAAGGTGTATCGAGGAAGTACATAAATTTTATAGAAGCTCTTCACTCGAACACCACTACTCGAGTAATTGCCTATGGCGAACAAACAACAAATCATGATAGAAAACATTTATTTCTCGAAAAAAAATTTTCGAATAAAATAAAAAACGAAAATAAATTTCTCAAGGTTTTTTAATCTATGAGGAAAAAATAAACATTGAGAAAAACACATGGTGAAGTAGTCGAACTTGTGAACCGCTTCACTTATCTGGGTAGCCTCATCAGTTCTGATAGCCTGGCGACTGACGAAGTCTCAGCAAGGATACAAAGGTCTCGACTGGCTTCTGACAACTTGCACCACTTATGGCGAGGGCTGACTAATGGACGAGTGTACTGCTTATCTGATCGCTCCGCCCTACTATATGGATATGAAGCTTGGCCAGTCAGAGTACAGGACATTCGTAGTTTGATAGTATTCGGTTATGGATCTTTTCGAAGCATTGCCCTTGTATTGTGGGACACCCGAGTAAGCAGTGCTTTAGTTAGGGAACAGATACTAGGCTAGTATGGCAGATCAACTGGTGAAGTATTGAAACATCATCAGTTGTGGTTGTGACATGTGTTACTATTGCCTAACCGCCGACTGCCTCAACGAGCTTTGTTTTGTGATTTAGGAGTAGGTTGGAAGAAAGCCAAACCAATAAATAGCAAAAAACCATGAAATCACTAACAAGTGGACTGAGCTGTGTTGGTAGGTGTTGCTTGACATGGCTCAATCTGGTTCAGCCAACGTCAGATTGTAAGGCAGGATGATCGACTTACAGGAAACGAACAATGAAGCTCGATTAGTCATTGAAAGTCTTCTGAGTTGAACTGTATAGGCAGCATAAGTAACGTGTCAGGTTTTTTTCTCGATTGGGCGTGTCACACCAGTCTGTCTCGAATCCAGAGTCTAAAGATTGAGTTCGTAGCGGTTCTGACTAGAATGTTGATGGTTTGTCCTAAATATTATCAATATTATTAGAAAGACATTTTTGCATTTAATTCTCGTAGTATATAAATTGTTTTTAGTTTCTTAGACATGTTTTTAAAATTATGATAATTTAACGCCGTAATGTACCATTATCAGCTGTTCGTAATTCGTGGACAGATCATGGACAAAATTGCACGATACAATTAGTTAAGCGAAATGTTTCTTTCAATTAGAGTTATGGAGATTAGTGTTTTTGCATTTTTGAAACCAGCATTCAAAGGTAAACCATCACTAGAAACATGCAAACGATGGGCGGTCATTTGTTCTCGGTATGGGAGTCATCAGCAGCCAGGGAGCTTGCTACTTGCGGGATTCGAACCCAGGATCCTCAGCTTTGCGCTCAAAGGCCTAGAATTTGAACCACTAGGCTGGAATCCCACTGTGTTGATGTTTAACTATGATCAGGCTAGGGAATTCGAGCGACCCCACTCACCTGTCTTCCGTAGTTACAGCCTACATCCAACAGGGCTGTACTTCACCGGTCACGTCTTCTCACCAGAAAACCGAGAATTTCCTCTCGAAGCTAGTCACTGGTGAGCACATTGTACGTTTGATGATTTTAATAGGTAAAAACACTTATCTCCGTCACTCTAATTGAAAAATTCATACAACCTCCAGTACAAATTAGTTTGCTTATCGATTTATTTACATAAATCTGAAATTTTCTTCTTTTTTTTAACATTGGCATGTACTGCATGACATGGCACGGTAGATCTCCTCTCTGGTATTTTGATAGCTATCGGTACACAGAAACTCCAACGACCTGAGAGAAACGCACATACGTAAATCACGTGACATAAAAGTTTACTAACCACTTCGAAATGACTCAAATTACAGCAGTCGTGAAAGACAACCATGCATAGGACATTTCCAAATACCTGATACAGTATTAAAGCAACAAAAATCGAGATCAAGAAGATCATTTAGTCTATACTAGCTCGTGAAAAAACTATCGCGTGGTGTTGAATATTATTTATCCTGATAAAAACTATATCAGTTGTTAATGGTGTCTAAGCGCGTCGTTCGTTTTCAGTGATACGATTTCGTGTTTCTAATTCGAACAGCGGTAATTTAAGGACGAATTTCTGCTAAATGATTCCCGACTATTATATTGGTCAATTCAATGCACTTATGAAATTATTGAAGTACGAAGCTCATTAAAGGAAGAACGTAAACGGATCTAACGAGGGGACCTAGACTAACAGCAGTTACAGTGATCTGACCGTGTTCCATGTCTCATTAGTAAAATGTCTTCCAAGGTAACGTCAGCGTTTACACAAGTATATTCTTCCGCTTTTTACTTTGGGGATGAATCACAGACAGATGTTTGAACTCCTTTCTTTGGGATTTACGTGTTTTAGATGTGATGAAAGCTTTCTTGTTCTTGGCAAAAATGCTTTTGCGAATCTAGAATTCTAACGAAAGATTTTATTTCATTAGTGAACAATTTCAAAACTCATTGGTAGGATTGGTTTTATTAACAAAACTTTGGTCAAGTATTTACTCCTGATAGATTTTAGAAGACTGGTATTCTGACATTTAATCATAGTGGCCGTACTAATTTTACAGATTTTTGCTTTATTTAATTCTTGAAAATTGTGCTGAGAAAGTACATAAACCCATTATAAATGTTTTCTGGTAAATTACTGAACTCAGAGCTTGAAGAATGGATTTAGGAACCTTGATGGCTTATCCGAGCTGATGTTACATGTGGCGTAGATAAGATGTTTGTCTCCAAACCTTATATTCCATACCATAAATTTTAAGAGATACTCAGTGACATAAGTTCGAGTGCTCACTGGAAAATCTAATAATAATGTAAATGATAAGGTTCCATGCAATACCTATTCGTGTATAAACTTTTCAGGAAGCTCGTGAGTTGACCTTGGTTAAGATTAGAGGACACAGTTCGTATTTTTAAGTTCTTGACAATATATTGGAATTTATTTACCGCCATAGTATTTTGACCAGGAGCGTCGATCAGATGATAAAATGCTTTTAAATTATGAAAATGTGCTTAGGAATGTCTTTCATTGAAACTTTCTGTTTATAATACTACAGGTGTTATTCAGTCTCTCGGTAGTAAAGTATATTTTGGCATATATGAGCATCAATTAAAACTGTCAGACAATGACGGCACAGCAAGATAAGATTGTTTGGCCAAATACGTAAGTCATAGATGTAGTAACACTTCAGTGGTATGGAAAAAACTAGATGTAGAATATATGGTTACGGGCAAAAATTAATCGTGCAGTAAATAAGTAGAATAATGAGACTAATTAAAAACTTACGATGCACTGCCAACTCATTCCGAATCACCGACTACTGTCTTGACATTTGAATTGAAAATTCTGACTTTGGTGTTGGTTGATAGTAGTTTGGAGTTCCAGATGTTCAATTGCAGAAATATCGTCCTTTGCCGATCCACGCCTTCGCATCTGCATCAGATCCAACTTGCTTGTCAGTGATGCTGTCCAGATGTGCAAAGGTTTCTACGCCCTCCGACCAAGAGTGATTTGGTTAGCGCATGTTGTGTTATATTAGAGAACCTAGCTTTTCCGTTTGTTTATGTTGAGACCTGCTGCGGTGAAGGCTGGTGGTACACTGGTCATTCTCTCCTGCATTTTTCCTTGAGTGTTCAATGGAAGAGCCAGATCTTCTACACTGTGCAGTTCGTCCACATGCATTCTAGCTGTCTATTGTATTCCATACTTCCGCTGAGATACTGAAGTTCTAATAATTCAGTCAAAACTCAGAAGAGAGGGAAAGGGTGAGAGTAAGCAATCTTTCCGGACACCTGTCTTTACTTCAAACGAGTCTATGAGCTGTCCTGCATGCACCATCTTACGGTTCAATTCGTCATAAGAATTCGGTTTGATGTTGACTATCTTCTCAGGCACACCGTAGTTTCGAGGAAGTCTCCATAGTGTTGTCCTGTCCACGCTATCAAATGCTTTCTCGTAGTCAATGAAGTTGATGTAGAGTGATGAATTCCATCAAATCGATTGTTCTACAGTGAACCATATTGTCACGATTTGGCCGGTACACGACCGATCCTTGCAGAATCCAGTCTATTGATCTCGAAGTTGGGCGTCTATGAAGTTTTCCATTATGTCTAACAACATCCTGTTGAAGACTTTTCCTGGTATTGAGAGGAGAGTAATACCTCTGTAGTTCTCACATTTGCCGAGATCGCCTTTCTTTGGTATTTTAATCAGTTGTCCTTTTTTCCAGTCTGCTGATACTTATTCTTCATCGCAAATCTTGTTGAAGAGAATGTGGAGTATTTTTGCAGTTGTTGCCACGTCTGCCTTCATTGCCTCTGCTGGAATTCTGTCTGGTCCTGCTGCTTCGCCGGTCTTGATTTGTCTGATGGCCATGCTGATCTCTTCAATTGTAGATGCGCCAACATCGATTGGGAGGTCCGTGGATGCTGCTTCGATGTTAGGTGGGTTCAGCGGAGCTGCTTGATTCAAGAGTTCCTTAAAGTGCTCGAAACACCTATTTCGCTGTTCAGTGTTGCTGATTATTTTGCTTGATTTTCACTGGTCGTTCCCGTTTATGACAGTTCCTAGCGAGATTCGTTGTTGTCTCGCACAATCGTCTCGTGTTTCCTTCTCTGGCAGCCTTTTCCGCCTTCATTGCTAGATCTTCCATATATTTTCGTTGGTCGGCTCTGATACTCTTCTTCCTTTTCCTGTTTGCTTCTGTGTATTCATTTTGTGCCGTTACTTTCTCTGCTGTTGTTTGGCTGATATTGATTGCAGTCTACTTGCTCCTCCTTTCAATTTTTTCAAGGGTACCATTAGACATCCACTCCTTGTGGTGATACTTATTGTGACCCAGAACTTCGTGACATGTTGAAGTGATTGCCTCCTTGATCCCTTTCCGATTGTTCTCCAAGGTTGTTTCCTCCATTGAGTAGATCCTGCAAGGACTGGAACCTATTGCTGAAGGCTGGCCTAAATTCGTTGAGCTTTCCAGTATTTTGAAGTAAGGCCGTATTAAACTTTTTTGATGTTTTTCGTCTCGTTGTCTAATGCTTCTTAAGTTTCAGTGTCTTTTTGGCGACCAGCAAGTGATGATCTGAAGCTATAACAACTTTCCTCTTGGTTCCTAAGCCCTCCATGGTCCTTCTAAACTTTTCATTGCTACAGGATGGTCAATTTCTTTCTGAGTAGTGTTATCTGGTTAAATCCGTGTAGCTCTGTGTATGCGTTTATATGAGAATATTGTGCGATCGATGACCTGTTTGTTGAAGGCTTATACGCTTGCAAATCTTTCACCATTTTGGTTCTTTTCTCCCAGTCATTCTTGTCCCATGATGTCCTCATATCCAGTGTTGTCCATGCCATTTTTGCCATTTAGGTCTCCGATCAGAATGGTCAAATCCTTTGATGAGCATCTGACGACAATTGACTGTAGCCTCTCGTAGAATTAATATTTAATGTCTTCATCTTAGTCGTTGCCAGGTGCATATTATCGGATGACGTTCATTGTAATGCCGTCTTTCTCTGCTTTGAAGGATGTTTAGATGATCCTGTGTCCATGAGATTTCCATGCTATCTGTGCATTTTGTGCTTGTTTGGATAGTATCAGTGCAACTCCTTGTGTGTGAGGCATTTTCCTCTTCTTTGTCGGAGTATGACTGCATCTATCTTGAGGCTAGTTTTAGTTGTCCAACCTGTGTGCAATGGGTTCCACTGATTCCAAGAACCTCCAGGATGTACCTTTTCAACTCTGCAACAACTTGAAATATTCTTACGGTCTCCCACAATGTTCAAAAATTGCACGTACCTAAAAGAATGCTTGCTTTGTTTGTCAGAATGGGCATCGGCCTTGTGACCTCTGAAGGAACTCGGTTTTCATCATGGGACGTCCTAACGCTTCCGAATGAAGACCTTCTAACTACTAGGGCAGAGTTAAAATAGTCTGAATTATTTTTTATTGTTAGCGTTCTTTTAGCGAGATATTTTTTTATGGGGATCGGTCGTCAACCCCACACACAACCATCCTCCTTTACCCGTGCTTGGTACCGGCAGTAGCCCCAGAGGGCCTCCAGGCGAAGTTTTGCTTAATTGTGGTTTTCTGTAACACCATAATCTAGATTATGATCGATCGAAACCACTCCGTTACTAAGTATTTATTTAACTCTTAATACAGGTTGTTCAAGATGCTGTTCATGGTTTAATAGAGCTGGAGTCGCTAGCTGTACAATTGATTGACACTCCTGAATTTCAGCGTCTTAGAGAAATAAAGCAGTTGGGTATTGCTTATTTTGTTTTTCCAAGTTGTCAACATTCACGATTTGAACATTCGATTGGTACTTATCATATGGCCAAAAAGTTACTTGAAAGTATTCACAATGATCAAAATTACTCAGGTCCAACTTTGAGCTCAGCAGAACAATTGGCTGTAAAAATTGCTGCCTTATGCCATGATTTGGGTGAGCTGCTTTAAAATTTTACTTATGCTCTGAACATTTTGGTACAATAAGCACTGAAGATGCATCACACGAATTGAAAAATGGAAAGATTTCCCAAACATGATAAACCATTATTGACTAAAGAATATACGTTTAGTCGTTGACCGATCCCTGGGAACTAACCGAATTTAACTTATAGGAAGTGGTGAAAAATGCCTAATAATTTAGGTCTATAAAGTCACGATGGACATGAACACATGATTTCTGAATCAACAGTTCAATGTTTACAAAAGTGTTATCCATCTGAAGCACTTTCTTACTGTCACTCAAGATACTTAGAGGACTGAAATATGTCAGCGCACTCAAAATAAACTTATGTAAATGTTTTTCGGTAAAGATCAGAACTTGTGCTACAAGTGGTGCAGGTTCGTCAAAACTAAGCCAGATTTTTTTGTACTCGATATTCCAGGTTCTCTGTTTAAGAACTCATCCCCTGAATATCCTAAGTGTTTGCTATCTTTTTAGCATAAATTAAAATAATCGAACTCTGAGTGACGCTTTAAGATTTCCGCTTATTATTTCTGATAATATCTATTCCCTAATTTTTACGTTGAAAACTTTTGCTTGACAAGATTTTTTGAAGCTCTTACTAGAGAAACAGTAGTCATTAAAACGAATTCGACATTTGTAAATTACGTAGAAGTAGGCTGTTTTTAAATTCATAGTTAACATTAAAATGTAAAACGTTGAACAATGCTCTATACTCATTTCAAAATGATCATCACTGTGGACTGAAACAAGCTACTGAATAGTGGGAATCTAATAAAAACTGGAGATCTGTTTAACTTCTGTTTTAGACCACTAACAAAGTTAAATCCTTGATTTAATATGATATTGATGAACTTTTATGATACTTCACTGAACTATATACATTAGTTGCTGTTTATGCCACTTATGTGCTTGAGACTTTTGAATGTTTTCATCAAATTTATAAAACTACTCTTAACAGTAGAGACTATATTCATTCACTTAGTCAATCATAAGCAAAGTAGAGTCTGGTATTAGTATACATTAGTTCAAGTCCCCAATCCATGTTAAAGTAGTGGCTGCATTGTCAGTGATTGTAAACAACATTATCCCAGAGAATTCCTGCGGAAAATTATGTAATGTTTATCAGTGAATAGTAAACCGTTGCAGTTAGTAACTTCTCTGTAGCGCTCCAGTCTGCCCTAACATAACCAACTCTAGCTCCTGGAATAAGAGAAGAGGACATTCCAGTTAAGCTCAGTAAATGCAAGTAATGTGTGGTAATGAAAGCAAAATATGAGTGTTCATTGAGCATCGACAAACAGATTACATTTCTGATGTTATCATGGTCGATGTTGGATATTCTCACAACCCTTGAGTATCAAATTGAATCCTCAATGAATGCTGTTATAAACCAGAAGGCGCAGTAAGTATTTCCGAAGCAGTCAGAGAAGCAGTATACCCAGATGTAGAGATTGCAGAGACAGAAATTTTATACCAAGTTCAAAATACTCTGAATGAGTATGTTCTGCTCAAATGTGCTTCAAACAAAGGAAGTCTCGATGAATCATATATCAGATATTTACAGTTATACATCCTAAAGCGCACATGTCATATTGACTAGAGCAATGGACTTGATTTTCCACATGAAAAGTGAGAAGAGGAACATATGTCGTATTTTGTATGGAAGTCAGAATTATGTGATCGAATGCCTCAAATTATCTGTTGATGCGTATGCCCTAAATCTCAGACATAATCGAAGTGTGTGATATGAAGTAATGCAAATTTTTGATTGTCCAATTGGTTTGGTAACATTGCAGTACAAGGAGCCTATATTGATTCATGAGCGAGAAAATAAATGAATGCAATGTCAAAAAATAGATTCGGTGTCAGAATTCCGACTCATTTTTTCTAAAACTTAATGTGAGACGAAAACTACCTACAAATTCGGAGGGGAAGGTGATGTGTAGTAGTGAAAAAAGGTGTGATTGATCATCGTGCTTGAACAAACAGACACAGTTTACTGAACAATAACCACGCGATTGCCTTTCTAATTGTATATAATTCAGACTCACCAAGTGTGACTGCTTATAGTCGTGTGAATTAAGATTCTAAAAATATTAAAGACTTCCCATTGTGAAAATTAGAACAAAACATCTAAACGAATAACATTCTTTACGATCAAATCGTCATTAGGCTTTAATATACATTAATATTAATATGAAAATGTCAAACCAAACTAGGCACTTTGAGTCAATAATCACAGCGGAATAGATTGAGTATCTACACAACATAGGTAAAGTTGCTACTTGATAGATGGAAGACAGAATAGAATAGCTTAAGAAGAAGAATAGCTTATTGTGTGTAGATACGTAATCTATCTCACCATGATTATTGACTTACAAATGCCTTGATTGGTTTAACATTTTCATATTAATATTCATGTATATTGCAGTAATGCCTGGTGACAATAAAATTAGAAACATTTTTTCTCACTTATATTTGTTGTCGGAATAAGACGCAATCTGTCGCTTACTCTGATTTTCTATTTCGGTCATGAATCCTGTATCTGGTCTAACGTGGTTTAGTCTGTGTAGTGAGTATCCAGTTCAGTAGTAATATAAACTCACTCACGACTCATTTAATCTTTTTGTAGTAATGCCGTAGCAAGGAAAATATTTCAAAAACCGTTATAACAGTCACAAAATCGCAAAGTTACCTGTAGAGCCTAAGTAGGCGTCAACATATGGCCTAGGATAGTTCCATGTTACTGTCCCGCACTCAACAGGAAACTGCTCTTGGAACGGTTATTAAGTGTATAGAACCTTCTAGATTTATCGAGTTTGAGGTGAAACTTTTATTATGAAACCCAATTAGGTGGTAGTGTGAATTACAGGTAATGTAAATCCGGTGTTTATCTCTGGACTTATAAATGCCCAGTTCCAGTTAATTCCTTAGAAAAATTATTTTTCCGTTTTATAATAAAATAGCCATCAGTATTCTTTATCGCATCAACGTGTTTTTATGGAGATTAATTTATAGTTAATAGAAACAAGTTATTTGAAAGACACAAACTTTGTATACAACAAATAAAAATGATCTAACTATTGTACAAACTTTTGCCTTTATTTCAACGTAGGTCATGGACCTTTTTCTCATTTGTGGGAAGAGTTCGTTAAGAGGGGCGGGCCAGAATATAGTGAGTATAATGTAAGTGAATTAACTTTTACAATAACTGCAGAAAAATGTCTATTGAAAACTTTACTTCATTTTCATACTACTCTTACTATTTTAGAATATGTTTTTCTATTTTCATGGTGATGTAGTGTAGCGGTTTAGGCTAATAATCATATGTTCCAGATTCTGTATGACTAACTGGTTGACCTAGCTTTTTTAAACTAGTTTCAAAGGGATGGCTAGTCAAGGTGTAAATAAATATGGTGAGGTATTGTAAGGATATTGGAAAATCTATTTGTGTTTGATTTTCCAGTCCTTATCGTGAACATATTTCCTTACTGATCCCCAACATTTTATTTTACCTTAGATGATCTTGGGGATTTTCATTTTACTGAGTTAAAAATAAATCAAGGAACTCAAAACGAAACATGATATCTATTCATGTAATGTAGTCTGAGTATGTTGACTATCTATCTATCTACCTGCCACTCACAGATTCTAGATATTGTTATTCCAAAGTCGTTATTGATCTGATCACATAGTGATTAAAATCGTACAGGTGAATTCACGATTGATGTTCGAAAGTTTGTTAATCGGAACTGATTGACTTTCTTTTTACCTATCTAGTTACCATAAATGTATTTCCCTCTGAAAATTATCTGAAGATAACAAAACGAACAGGCTGTGTTTCATTATTCTCTTTTTACAAATTTTCGGTCTTAATTAAACCAATATATCCTATCTAGTGTTTATTATAATTACAACTGACCTTAATGGTTATCGTGTTTCTTTTGCAAATATGTTCGATATTATCCTTTTAGCCAACTGATATATTTGTGCTCGGCTCTACGTCAGTTCAACTAAATTTACAAATAAACGTGCTTTGTAATTACATTCAAATATTAATCCAGGGCGGAAGTTTTTCTAATTATGACTCATACCTAAGGTTTTACCGCTGTTCTCTATCATTATATCTATCGTTCATTTGGTAAATTTGTGTCATTCCATAGATATGTCAACACGAGTCATTTACATAAGAAAATAAGTTAGTGTCATCCATTTTTCAAACAATCTAGTTTGTCTATGGAACTGGTTTTAAGAGACAGATATCATTTGACCAATTGACAAATAAAATAATCACGCAATCCCATGTTTAGTATACTTCTAGAGATTTAACTTACGGTGATGTGAACTAAAAGAAATCAAACCGATGGAAGTATATTTAAAAACGATTAGTTCAGCAAAGATTTTTCTTTTCGGAAAATTCATTTTCAAATATGTACAATCGATTATATATACTTTTTTTTCAAATCGATAACTATTGCAATAAAGTAATAATAGACATTTTGCGAAATATGGTAACACACAGGTCATTCGATCAGAACCGCCTCAGCATTAAATATCATCCACAAAATAAACCAACAAGCTGCTGAAGGTAGTGAACTTCCGTCTTTTTGATGTTACCTAAGCATTTACTATATATTTAATAAAGCCAGAATTGTTAATACATGAGAAACTATTACTATCTCTTCTACCATGGTTTTTATCTTTCGTCTTCTCTTCCTTTTTTCTTTTTCCGTAACCATCTGATTGCTTTCTAGTTTCTTCTCCACAAACTATGTACCCCCAACTGATTTGTTTCTGTTTCTATGATCATCCATTCTGGTTTTGATTCATCCTCGATTTCAACATCTTATCTTATTATGCTGACTATATCCTTTCCAACTATATAATTCTTGATCCATTATAGGTTGTACCAATTTGTCGAGCCGACAGGGCTTTCCCCAGACTATAGATAAATCAGTTCACACGTCATTCGACCTTGTCAATTATTCGCTCATAACCTGTTTGTATGTGCATCGCTTACCTTGTTTATCACATGTCTAGCTTACTTTGTCTGAATATAAATATTGAGTTGGCCTACTTGCTCTTTCCGCTTCGCATTCTATTGTTTGTCTGCTTATGCAAACGTGTGAAGTAAATTTTTCCACTTAAAAACGTACTGGGCTTTTTATAACCGATACGAACGAACGGAAATTAAAGGGAAGATTTAGTTCATACGTCACATAAGCAGATAAACAATAGAATGCGAAGCGAAGACAAGTGGACCAACTCAATGTGATTAGGCATGGCTAAATATTTATATTCAGACAAAAGTAAGCTAGACATGTGATAGGCGAAGTAATTTCAATGGATTCTCAAAATGACTGTGATTTTGACACTTCCTAACTTCTGGATAGATAGCCTATTTATAACAAAGAAGATTTGCAACAGAAGTAATGAGACCTCTTAGGGTTTTGTGATTTGAAGAAATTTATTGGTTTTCAGGGGAGATAATCGTTTCTCTTTAACAGTGGAAAGTCATTGCTACATAAACTCATCAATTGAGGTGGGAACTTACTGACTGAAGATATGTTACTGAGTTTTTCCCGTAAGCATAAAAAGTTCCGTAGGAATTCCCTTATCGTCTAAAAAATCTTTAATGGTAAATTCACTGATAGTTGTACAGATTAAACTTGTGACAGAAACATCGTTGTTACCGCACCAATATCAAAAACTCGTTAGTAAAAACTGTTGTCTCTCTTAATATCTTTATTACGCCGGCTCTCTTATTATTTGGTGACCCAGTAACAAATGCATTTTATCTAAATTCACTGCTCACAAAATAAGTTGATGGAAAAACTGGTTGGTTCATCTGTTGTGTAAAATCTCTATGTAAAAAATAGGCACTTGGTACATTTAGTAATCGAATTTTTACTCTGTAGTGATCTAATTAATTTTTACAAACTAAAGTTTTGAGGACTGTACAGAAATATGTCTATTTTACATTTTTGTTACAAGAGACATTTAAATTTTTCCCCAAAGCTCCATTGCATTTCTATCTTTTCTGGTTGGCTAGTTCCTGCACTACACTTTAGCCAATCCAATATACATTCAAAAGAATTTAGGCTAATGTTGATATTATGTACATAAGACTATTCATCTTGTTTTATAAGGTTTCACAATGTGAAAACAGTTATAATACTTAAACTATGATCTGTTTGGTATCATGTATTGAAATTCTTAGTACACTAGAAAAGTATCAAAGTCTAATGTAGATTACTATAAATGAGGTTTAACTTACAGCTTCACGAAAGTACCTGACAATAAAATGTGTTCAAAACAGTGCATGAAAATATGTTCAGAATAGTTTGAAATGAAAAGAACAACTACAGATTAGAATTATAATTGAAAGCTTTTATTGTCAACTAGAATCATCTTTGGGTTCGGCGTACCTGTGTAGTTAAAACTCAGCAGTGATCGATCGACATCCCAGAAAGTTGGATAGATAGTCAAATATATATGGCTTGTAATACACATATATTCGGTACAGATCTTGAATTTTTAACTCTAGATCCTAGTGCTTACATTTGGATAAAGACGCTCATGACGATTGCATTATTTATGCTGGCATTGTAAACAGCCATTGTTAAAAATCCTAGTTATAGAGATTGTCCTGTTTTTTATATCGCCTGCAATCTTTTGACATTCAGATATCCGAATGCATATTTTAGCTAGGATAGAAGGAGATCTCAGCATACGTTTACAGTCAGTGTCTGAAGAATGTTAGGGAATGGTGAACTTGAAACACGATACATAATTAATTCATACCTGGTAATCGATCCTTCAGAAAATCCTTCTCTTAAAAGGAGCAGGCAGAACAGCACAAAACCAGATCTCAGATAAACCAGAGTAGATATCATTCTACTAAATTTTGATCTGTTAAGAATGAGATGTTTCAAATGTGATAAACAAAAGGTCTTCAAGTTGTGATGAACCTGACTAAGTAATTCAAACCAACTAAGTAATCCCAAACAGTATCACTCAGTGGCTATACTTCGATAAGCTTTGTGCATTTCTGATGTTCTGTTGTCGACATAGAGAATATTTTCTCAATAAAAAGAAAACCAATGTATGTTTACTACAAAAGTAAACCTATTAGTCTGGAATTAGATAGTGGCTTGGATGTTAGCATTATTTTGAAATCTACATGAGTCAAAATAGGTCAACCGTAGCTGCTTCCTCCAATCCGTAATTGAAAAAAATGAGTAAGGTGCCGAGAAAGTGCCTTTAGGAGAGTCTTCTATGAACTCCGCCTTTGGTAGTAAGAGGGATCTAGGAAAATGTAATATGACGATAAATTGTGATGATACCAACTGTTAGGTCTTGACTAGTGGATAATGTTGGATTATAGGATGTACCTTTGAATGAAATCTTTAGTATAGTTGATTTTTCGGTACCCTAGTTCCTTCTAAATTATGTGGATAATTGCTCATACAAAGAAGAGATCATTGATTCATCAACTTCACGATAACCGGAGATAAGAATTATGATTTTTGATGAAGTAGGTTTTACCCAGAGTAGCTAGCAGGGTAAGAACAGCACCAACACATCATTTTTTCATGAGAGGAAGAGACGGCTATTCAATTTAGAAATTATTTACTCGAGAATTCATGAGTCTAGAGCAGGTGCTTTTGCTCTCCACTTGACTTTGGCCATGAAAGCCAAAATGAATTTATAAATGGATAAAATCTTTTGTGGGTTGAGGTTTGAAAATATATTCGTAAACGCAAATCAGCTACATAGTTCAGAACAGAGTGAGTCATCTGAAGATAATTTATTGCCTACGTATGTATATGTATACTGCCACTTGAGATGAATCATAGTTGGAAGTTAGTGAGAAACCAGGGCAATACGAAACACAAACGGATATTTTTCTCAAATGAGCTAAAAACTTAACGAACAAACTTTGCAAGGGTGGCGTTGTCTAATTATACATGACGGTGATTGGTCAATGTCCCAAATGGTCAGATATGATTGACTTATACATATTTTTCCTACCCTCCTTGTCGTAATACAGTTTTATAACTATACGCACCACTAAGTGTCCTCAATTGGTTTTCTGATGTAGTATTCTCAGTTGTTGTGTGATTACGTTTATGGCACCAATTGAATAAAACACTACCACAGTGATAGTATCGGTCTTCGCCTAGATCAACCGAATATCACAAAACTAATAACCTCATACATAGCAGTTATACAATCCTATGCATATTTCCCGAAATCGGAACTTCCTCTACGCCATACATACTAATTTAAATTAATTTTTTTAGTTTTCTTTCCATATTCTTTCTCCTTGAATCTGTATAGCATGAGAAAATTAGTGGACATGTACTTGATCAAATTGTTCGTTCAAAATCTACCTTACATAGTGAGTTAAATAATCTTGGTGTTGATATGAATCTTATACACAGCCTGATAGTCGGCGGTGATACTGGTACTATATTATCACATCAGGTAATATTTTATAAACCATTCTGAATAATAATAATAATGTAAATCATTGTAATGCCATATTTTGTAGACTTTACATTAAAAATTATGATATTTTTTCTAATCCAAGAAATTTCATTTAGCTTGCATATAGTTTCTATAATGAAATTCGTTCACTTTTAGAAACACCAAATAAAAAGTTCAATTCATTCTCTTTTATACCACTGAATAGTTATAAGGACTGACTGTTTTTAGAATCAAATCCAACAATTTTAGATTATCGTTAAGCTACTGGATTGAACTTTATTGCTAACTTGGTAATGATCACTTTTGGGAATTAGAGATATGTTTTAATCTTGCTCCTACGCCAACTTCGATGAATACATGTCAGGTTGTTGAACATAGCTCTAAATGAACATTTCACCTCAGGCGATACTCATTAGGAAGATGTATCTACAGTCTCGAGCGAACTGATACGCCTCGTAAACCCACTTTATCGATGATCACTGAGATTACCAAAAACCTATTATGATTGGCTACCAAAGGACCGATATTTTCATGACAGTTTACCCCCGAACAGTCACCGTCATCCTGTTAGTGATCATATTTTACTGACTGACGTAGGTTCGGGTCTAACCAAAAGCATTAGTTCCATCAAGGCCTATATGACTTACTGGCGACTGAAAACTGGCACAGGATCGAGTTTCTTGATTTCTTGTATTCACAGAACACCAAAACATGGTAAAAGTGATGTCACTTAGACTAGTGGTCATATTGCAACGCGGTTGACGGAATCCGATCAGCATTGAGCATTAGTTCCTACCCAGCAATCGAATACAATACATATTGCTTATATCTTTTTGTACATTTGAATTTTCTATCAGATATGATTTTCAGTAAGTTTTAATCCAATGTACCTTTGACATTCGTATATATATATATATATATATATATATATATATATATATATATATATATATATATATATATATAAAGAAACTTACTTACTTTCGCCTGTTACCCCCAATGGAGCATAGGCCGCCCACCAGTTTTCGCCAACCAACTCTGTCCTGGGCTTCCCTCTCCAGTTCTGTCCAATGTTTGTTCATTCCTCTTATATCTTTCTCTATTTCTCGGCGTAGTGTGTTCCTTGGCCTTCCTCTTTTCCTTTTGCCTTGAGGGTTCCATGTGAGGGCTTGTCTAGTGACGCAGTTGGGTGCTTTTCGTAGTGTATGTCCTATCCATTTCCACCGCTTCCTCCTGATTTCCTCCTCCATTGGAATCTGACTTGTTCTCTCCCACAGTTCGTTGTTGCTGATGGTGTCTGGCCAACGAATACGAAGTATTTTGCGTAGACAACTGTTAATAAACACTTGTATCTTCTGAATGATGGCTTTGGTAGTTCTCCATGTTTCCGCTCCATACAGTAGAACTGTCTTGACATTTGTATTGAAGATCCTGATTTTGGTTTTGTTTGAAAGTTGTTTGGAGTTCCAGATATTTTTCAACTGTAGAAATGCAGCCCTTGCTTTGCCAATCCGCGCCCTCACCTCTGCGTCCGATCCACCTTTCTCGTCGATGATGCTGCCAAGATATGTGAAGGTGTTAACGTCCTCCAAGGTATCTCCATCAAGCGTGATTCGGTTGGTGCATGTTGTGTTGCATCGGAGAATTTTGCTTTTTCCTTTATGTATGTTGAGACCTACTGCTGCAGAGGCTGCTGCTACACTGGTCGTCTTCTCTTGCATTTGTTGTTGAGTGTGGGATAGAAGAGCCAGGTCATCTGCGAAGTCCAGATCGTCCAGCTGCGTCCTAACTGTTCAGTTGATACCGTGCTTCCCTCCAGATGTTGACGTCTTCATAATCCAGTCGATGACCAGGAGAAAGAGAAAGGGTGAGAGTAAGCAACCTTGCCTGACACCGGTCTTCACCTCAAAACAGTCTGTCAGCTGACCTCCGTGTACGATTTTGCAGTTGAATCCATCATAAGAATTCCGTATGATGTTGACTATTTTCTCAGGCACACCGTAGTGTCGAAGAAGCCTCCACAGTGTTTTCCTATCCACGCTATCGAATGCTTTCTCGTAGTCGATGAAGTTGATGTAGAGTGGTGAGTTCCATTCAATGGATTGTTCCACAATGATCCGTAATGTAGCAATTTGGTCAGTACACGATCGATCCTTACGAAATCCAGCCTGTTGATCTCGAAGTTGGGCGTCTACGAAGTCCTTCATTCTGTTTAACAATACTCTGTTGAAGACTTTGCCTGGTATTGAAAGAAGAGTGATGCCTCTGTAGTTTTCACACTTGCTGAGATCGCCTTTCTTTGGTATTTTGATGAGGTATCCTTCTTTCCAATCTGATGGTACTTGTTCCTCATCCCAAATCTTCTTGAAGAGAATGTGAAATATTTTCGCAGTTGCTTCCACATCTGCTTTCATTGCCTCTGCTGGAATGTTGTCTGGTCCTGCTGCTTTGCCGCTCTTGATTTGTCTGATGGCTATACTGATCTCCTCAATCGTAGGTGCGCCAATATTAATTGGGAGGTCCGTGGATGCTGCTTCGATGTTGGGTGGGTTCAGTGGAGCTGGTCGATTCAATAGTTCCTTAAAGTGCTCCACCCACCTATTTCGCTGTTCGTCAGTGTTGCTGATTATTTTCCCTTCCTTGCTTTTCACTGGTCGTTCTGGTTTACGATAGTTTCCGGCGAGCTTCTTTGTAGTTTCGTACAATTGTCTCAAGTTTCCTTCTCTTGCAGCCTTTTCCGCCGTCATTGCTAGATAATCCACATATTTTCGTTTGTCAGCTCTGATGCTCTTCTTCACTTCCCTGTTTGCTTCTGTATACTCGGCTTGCGCCTTAACTTTCTCTGCTCTTGTTCGGCAGACATTGATAGCTGCCTTCTTGTTCCTCCTTTCTTGAATTTTTTCAAGAGTACCAACAGAGATCCATTCCTTGTGATGGTGCTTCTTGCGACCAAGGACCTCCTGACATGTTGAAGTGATCGCCTCCTTAATCCCTTTCCAATTGTTCTCCAATGTTGCTTCCTCTCCATTGAGTAGATCCTGAAAGGCCTGGAACCTATTGGTGAGGGCTATCCTGAATTCGTTTAGCTTTAGAGTATCCCGAAGAAATGCCGTATTAAACTTCTGTGATGTTGTCTGCCCCGCTGTCCAGTGCTTCTTTAGCTTCAATCTCATTTTGGCGATCAGCAAGTGGTGATCTGAAGCTATATCAGCTCCTCTCTTGGTTCTCACATCCTCCATGGTCCTTCTGAACTTTTTGTTGATACAGATATGGTCAATTTGGTTTTGAGTAGTGTGGTCCGGTGAAATCCATGTGGCTTTGTGAATGCGTTTGTGCGGGAATATTGTGCCACCGATGACCAGTTTGTTGAAGGCACATAGGTTTGCAAATCTCTCACCGTTTTCGTTCCTTTCTCCCAGTCCATGTCGTCCCATGATGTCTTCATATCCAGTGTTGTCCATTCCAACCTTGGCATTCAGGTCTCCCATAAGAATCGTCAAATCCTTTGGTGAACATTTATCGACGATTGACTGCAGCCTTTCGTAGAATTGATCTTTAACGTCGTCATTGTAGTCATTGGTCGGTGCATAACATTGGATGACGTTCATTGTAATGTCCTGTTTCCTTGTTTTGAAGGATGCTTTAATGATCCTGGGTCCATGAGATTCCCATCCTATTAGTGCCTTTTGTGCATGTTTGGACAGCATCAGTGCAACTCCTTGTGTATGTGAAGCGTTTTCCTCTTCATGACCAGAGTATAACAGCAGTTCCCCTGAAGCAAGTCTCAGTTGTCCTACCTGTGTCCAATGTGTTTCACTGATGCCGAGCACCTCGAGGTTGTATCTTTTCATTTCTGCCGCAACTTGAAATAGTCTTCCAGTCTCCCACAATGTACGAACGTTCCATGTACCTAAAAAAATGGTTGCTCTGGTTGTCAGAAGAGGCATCGTCCCCGTAACTTCCGAGGGAACTCGGCCTTCATCACGCGACGTCATATTTCTTCCTCCAACTCCCAGGGCAGAGTTAAAATGGTTTGACTAAATTTTCCTGTTTAGCGTATTTTTGGCAAGTTAGATTTCAACGGAATGAGGCCGCCAACCCCATGTCCAACCCTCCTCCTTTATCCGGGCTTGGGACCGGCAGTAGCCCCTAAGGTTCTACTGGCATATATAAAGAAAGCTTTTATATATATCAGCTAGAATCATCGTTTTGTATTCACCAGTGCTATTTAACATACTTCTGTGTCTTACTGTTAAATAATAAAGATAATGGACGAAAGAATATTTATTTTAAAAATAGCTATCTTAATTCAATGTAATGTTTCATTTCTTAATTAAAACTTTTCATAGGCTTCATTGAAGAATAAACCGTTTATTTATGAGGTAAGTTTGCATTACATTTTATAAGCATATTTTTAAAAGCTGTGTTAATTGTTTCCATTTTACTATGTGTATGCTGTTTCAAAGACTTCGGCTTTTAGTATTGGAATAGTTCTACCCGTAGTTTACAACTCATAACAATCATGCAGTTTGTTGGAATTTAAATATGAGGTTCCATCTCAACTGCTGATACTTAAATTTAAAACACTGATTCAAATTGCTTGGAAAGGCCTGCTCTGAATTGATTACTTATTCTATCTAAACTGATGTAAGCAAACGAATTTATTGGATTGGATTTGAAGCTGTTGAAGTTGATTGTTTGGTGTCATTGCTACACATTTTCCTTGAGTGAATTATGTTGATAATGTCAACTAGTATATGGTCATTTTATTCAAGTTGCGTTTATGATAATAAATACCGAAGTAAAATTGTTTTCTAATGTACTTGATTTATAGTCTAGTCGAAATAACTCGTAGTGTATGTACTTTTATATCGACTCCACAGGGCTTGTCTCAGCCTTTGAACTATTTAATCAATTTATTCTTTACGAGTTTTTATTGACTCATCTTTTTGACCTCGTCAATCATTCACTCATATCTTGATTGTTTTTACTTGATTTTATGTCTTCCACTAACTTCGCTTAACGCATATCTAGCTTGTTTTTTTGTGTGACTATAAAATGCTTAGTCATACTTCATTACAATGAGTTGACTCACATGACTACCCCATTTCGCTTTGCTTGTGCACTTTTCATTCTCATGTCTGTCTGTTGTAATAAATCTATCCTTAAAACTACATTTTACTTCTTGTTACCATTGTCGAACAAACGGGTTTCGCTCAACTATGATATACGGAAAACGAATGGAAAATTTATTCCATCACATACTCGACCTTTCGCTCAAAAAAGAGACATTGCGGGCCACTAAAGTAGTGGGCCCTACTTCGAGTTCAATGCAGCCACAAACTGCATGAGTGTATAAATGTAGTACTATATAAATATATATATATGCATATATATTTAGGCTTTTGTTTACCTTCAAATAATACAGATTGTAAGCAACTGGTGAAAACCTGACGACATAAACTGTATTCTTGTTCTGTTCAACTCTTCGCTCTTATACTTCAGTCAATTAGTAACTCTCTTTCTTTTCAAAATCCCAGTATTAGATTTCTGGAGTTTCTTCTAGATCTCCTGCCTTAGTCCTAACCACTATTATAGTTAGTCATTAAATACCTGGGAAGATGGTTTATTGGTAGTGTATACTTATTAGTCTGATGTTCATCGTAACTATTCATAGCCATTACTTCAAGTGGTGTCCATCAGGGATGTCCACTTTATCCATTCTTGTTTAACTGTATGATAAATATGCTTTTGGAGGTAAAAATAGCCTCGATTGACTTTTCAGGAGTGGACCTAACAGGAAAACTGCTTGTTGACTTAAAATATGCCGATGAAGTAGTTCTACTTGGTGAAGGCAATGACAGAATGCAGTGTCTATTTTCTTCCCTAAACAACAATGCAAGCATGTTCGGGATGCGATTCTTCTCATCGAAATGCAAGATGTTGCTTCAGGATTGGCTTGTTTTGGCACCTCTTTGTGTTCCCTCACATTCTAATCTTCTGAATTCCTCATCATCTCCATCTTTCTCTTCCTGAAGTCATTTCATTGAATTATACTTCTTCAATAATATCTCAATTACCGCTAATACTTCCACTATCTCTACCACTATGGGATTTGAACTGACAATCACATCTCTGTGCTAATCCAGCCTGGCAACCTGAACTTATATATATACGTACGAATTTGTAACTGACTGACTGAACACTTTATAATAGCAGTATCCTTATTTGTCTCAGTGGTTAGTTTTGTAATGATTTCTATTATTTATCTGCCTTAAAATACTGTTCACTAATTACAGTTACATTGATATGAAATTATAATAAATATGTTTCTAAAACGCAACGTAGGTACGTGCATGAGATGCTTGTGATAGAAGAGTCTGAATTTATAATCGTTATTGCTAAATATCGAGTTTATAAGTTTTGAAAATTGACATCATCACATAGTTATCAGTATTTATTAAAATAATTTCAAATTTTACTTGATATTAACAAAATCAGATCCTTTCCAATAGTTTAAACGGTATGGATGTTGACAAATGGGATTATCTGCTTCGAGATTGTCTGCATGCTGGCTTAGGGGCTAGTGGAACCAGTGTGGATATTGATAGATTTTTAAGATTTTATCGACCGTTTTTGCATGCTGATAAAGACAAAGGTGATGAGAATGGATCAAAATGTTGGCATTTATCATTTAGAGATACAGAATTAGAAAATCTGCTTCGGACATTTAGTTTACGACAACATCTCCATCAAAAAGTGTATCAACATAAAACAGTGACATCTATATCAGTGAGTTAGACTATTTCTCTGTTATTTCATATACTAAAAAAGGAATCATTATTTTGTTTTTTAAACTAATACAGTCTTCTTAATTGCTTAAACTAAACGGTAAGGAAGAATATAGTGGTATATACACACTAAACAGTTTACTGTTTTCCCTACAGATAAAACGGTGGGAATACGGTATTAAACATTGAAAGTTTCGATAAGTTAAATCTACTGTTAATTTAGTATGATGCTACTCAAGTTGGACTTTTGAGAATCCTAGAAATATTAAAATTAATAATTAGTTTAAAATTGATGTGTAAAAATATTGTTTGAACAGTTTCTGGAATTTACCAAAACTGTGATTATATTTAGAAACTGTTGTGGACGTTATTTCGTTCTAATGAGAGTTCAAAGAATACGTTAATTGTGTAAGTCAAACATCCGACTTGCCGAATAGTTTCATCCATTCATACAGTGCCTGCTCAATTTCAATGAGCTGCCTTTTTAAAACTGGGAGTCCTGAAAAAGTCATTCTATTGAAAGATAGTCTACACAGCTAAATGATTTTATTTTAAATCAGAAACCTCTTTATGAAACTGTCTTGCTTTGTCGCTGTATATGATCAAACATTTGAGTTGTGCACAACACCCGACACGATAAGTCTGAATAAACATTTCTGAAATAAATATGAATCCATAAACAAATGGCTCAATGAAATTAATCATGAATCTACTATCTTTCAGTGAGTTATTATTATTATCAATAATGTTACTAAAAGTTGATTATTACTGAATGGTACTGAAATTCAACATATAGCCACATCGGAAGGCATATTCGCCCATATTAACTTTATTTGTCGAGTGCAATGGATACAAATATTAAGTTTTTAAAATGTTTCAACTATGAATTCCTGTATTCTAATTACTGTTTTATTTCTCCTATTTGTAGGCTATGATTATTGATGCACTTGAATTAGTGGAACCTGTACTTAATCTTCGATCTATTAGCATGAAAGCATTAAAATATCAGAATGCAGATAGTTTGAATGATTTCCTTAAACTTCATGATTCACTATTGTGGGATATTTATTACGGACGAGGATCATTATCGAAGGTCACTGCAAAAGAGTTTCTACCTCAAATTCAACAAGCTCAGCATATAATTCATCGTATTTTAAATCGAGATTTGTATACTTACATTGATAGTGTGTATGAAATGACATACTATGAACCTATTAATGAAAATAACAGTCAACAATATTCCTCCTGTTCAGAACCTTTCCCTAATTTAATCAATGAAGTAGCAACGGAATCACTAACATTACGATCTATGGGGTTAGGACTTGGTCCTAGAAAAAGTTTATGCTATGAACCGATTTCACCCCACTATAGAACATTTGGTGTGACCTCAAATAATAAAGTTAGTCATATTTTTTAATAATTATTGTTGATATAAATTTTTGGTTATTGCATCCTAATTGAGTGAGCCTTGTAAACAAATACGATATTGTGTCTGTACACATTCGTAATCGATTGGCGATTTCTTTGTTTAATGTTATTTTAAATATATATTTTCACCTACTATAATATTATTAAACTACCAAATCATAAATGACGAAGTTAATAAATTTTGAATAATCAATGTTTTGAAACTTGGTATAGGTTTGAAACGTCAACAAGTTTGTGAAATAACAAGCATTAGTATATATATATATATATCACTACTAACTTAAATAATATATGAAATTAAACTTTGTACGTTTTGTGCTCTGATGTGATACACTATACGCTATAGAAGAGTTCTCTATCGTTTGACACGGTAAAACAAGTCTTATCAGACTTCCCAGGATATCCCAAAAACACACCAGAAGCCTTATCTTCAATCTTTACTGTAGATAGCAGTAAAAAATTACCCATCTTTCGGTTCGATCATCTTAAAATGAATAATAACATTTATCTTTACATCTTCAAAACAAACTTTTAGATATTTCACTCAGCAAATCTTTTATCTTAAAGCACACAGTGTAACCAATGTGTTTGATGCTTCTCAAATACTAAGCTCAGTGTAATCAATCGACTTAAGTTTATATGATTAATAAACTACGGAATGTCCAAATCTTTATGTGACTTATCATAAAGACATTTTTCTTTACAGTAGCTCCTATGTCGAGGAGTAATTAGGACAGAAGCTAGACAGTACAAACTAACATTTTCCATTTCGAAATCGTTGGTTAATTCTCATTGTTAAGTGCTATGTCCCTTTTAAACTATTTTTCTCAAATCCGAGTTTCTCTGTTGGCTTAAATTATTTGCTCTGCTTCACATGTCATATTTGTTATTCTATTAAGATTCACAGCATTCCAAACTGATATAAATTCATCCAAGACCCTACATTGATGATAAATGGACTCATTCTTAAGCTTCTCCATTTTGTTTTTTTAATGTCGAAAATGAACACAAGTCTACGTAGTTGTTGAATAGTGTCTTACCATTTTGTAAATACCACCATTTTACCTTGGACTTGTTCTTCAAGGTCTGATTTGGAAACCTTTTCGAGTTCCTCGAAGCATGACTTTGTTTTGACCAATAAAAGTCAAGATGATAATTGCCACTTTTAAAAGTGACGGATTTTGTCATCATACTTCCATTAATTTGATTCAATTAAATATTTTCTATAAATTTACAATCCAGTACGACAATTATACCGGTTAATAGTACATAAAGATATCGTTCTCTGGAAGTGCTCCTACAAGCCAATTAAAAATGTGGGTGATGATTCGTTACATCATATGTCTATAATTCACGTAGACAACATTTCACCCTTGATCTCATTCTCCTAACACCTTATGAAACTTCCGTCACTAGTTATATGGATTTTATCTCATTCACGTATTATCAGTTTCTAACTAAACTTAAAAGGAAATGAAGAATTTTCTTTGCAGTCAATTCTCCATCCGTCATCACAAAAGCTACATCTAGGTATGTGGATAATATTATCTCGAACTCAATATATTACTTTTTGATATCTCCATACATTTCAGTCCATTTTGTTTTTCAATTATCCTCTTGACCTGATTTATTGCCTACTTTTATTGTCAGGACCAAAACGCTTCGTAAGCAGCATGCACAAAACTAATAGTTCATACATTTTAGGCGTAAATACATTATTGAATAGTTACCATATGGTAGTTTTTTTCAAGCATAATTTATTTTCTTGGGTATGAACAGAGGAAACATTCCAAAGAATCGATTCTGATGGGCATATTCCGGAAACTTCCTCAGGACTCGGGAATCCGGGATATGGACGATCTATTGGTGGCAGAATCTAGGTTCTCTTCAAACAGTACTCTCAAATCTCCCAAATTTTACTTTTACACGCGTTCGGGGAATACTTTTACCTACAGCGAACCGGTAAGTATCAATATTTATTGTTTCAGTACTTATACAAAAACTGAAGATTGTGCACGTAATATACACTCGCCAAATGAACAGTGGTATTTCGTGAAACATTATTTTACATTCCAGAGTTTATTGGAATTATCGCCAGCTAGCTGAAAATTTAGGACATCTGAAATATATTGGATATGATATATTGTACGCTATCAAGTTACTTATAAGATACTCTTTATTGAGCATGTGCATTCCCAAACTTATTAAATACCATTCTGGTTTATTAAACAAAACTTCAGTAACAAATGAAGTCTTGATTGATATTGTCTGCAACTTAAGCACACAGATCTCTAACTTAATTATGAGATGTGTATCGACTATTTATGTAAGGGTGGATTATCCATAAAATTCACAGTAAACCATATGAAAGTTCGAGAGTCTTCTCTTGAAGAAAATCGGAAGTTTTAATTAAATAATAATTGTTTTTAGATATTATCAAACCATTAGTGTTGGAATTGAATGCTTCACACTACATAACATTTATTCTGAAATTTCAGTTGCGCGTTATACGAGCATATCGTCTTTATTGGCGCAGGATTAATCTTCCATCAAAACATGCAATATCACGACCTATAACATGCTTAACGGAAGCATTTAACCAATGGCATCAAGAAATGATTGAAGATAGACATGAAGAAAGCGACCAGTCTGTTAACTAATAATAAGTACTACAAAAGTAGCAGAAGAACAAAAGCTTATTGTTCTGCAATATGTATCTACTACAATTAATTTTTGATTGTTGCCAAAATTATGGTTATAGATGTTATTATTCAGATCACATTGCTTCACAAAATGTTAAATTTGTAAATAGGTAGATTGAACTTAAAAATACATTTTATGAAAAGCTATGCTCTATTTTTGTGAATGCAGTAATGATTAACCCAGTAGATCTTAATCCCTACTTATGAAGTTTTAATAAATTCCAACAATTAATTATTGACAGGGGCGTAGAAAATATACTGTTGAGGCATTCGCTATAAAAATTAAGCTCAAGGGTAATTCCAGTCTACGAAACGATAAATTTGAGTTTCTTTAGTGTATCTCAACTGGCAGATTCAGATAAATCGTCGAATGCACGTTACAATCGAATAAACCTCTTCAATTTCTCATTATCTCTAATCCAGAACTGAAAAAATAAATCTCCATTAATCCTCTTTATATTGGATTGACTTGGTGTCCTTTTATTGGGGTCATTGAAATAGACTACTGAATAAGCACGGAACACTGTAACTAATATTTAATCGCCCTTGGACCTTGAGTAGCTGCTTTTTACATCATCGTTCTCCAATCGACCTGCCTGGCATGGTAGAACCTACAGGAACATATGTTCCAGCCAATATAGCTCGGTTGAGTCATCACGACAAACTCCGCCAGTAGAACCTTAGGGGCTACTGCCGGTCCCAAGCCCGGATAAAGGAGGAGGGTTGGACATGGGGTTGGCGGCCCCATTCCGTTGAAATCTCACTTGCCAAAAAAACGCTAACCAGAAAAAATAATTCAAACCATTTTAACTCTGCCCTGGGAGTTGGAAGAAGAATTATGACGTCTCGTGATGAAAGCCGAGTCCCCTCGGAAGTCACGGGGCTGATGCCTCTTCTGACAACCAGAGCAACCATTTTTTTAGGTACATGGAACGTTCGTACATTGTGGGAGACTGGAAGACTATTTCAAGTTGCGGCAGAAATGAAAAGATACAACCTCGAGGTGCTTGGAATCAGTGAAACACATTGGACACAAGTAGGACAACTGAGACTAGCTTCAGGGGAACTGCTGTTATACTCTGGTCATGAAGAGGAAAACGCTTCACATACACAAGGAGTTGCACTGATGCTGTCCAAACATGCACAAAAGGCACTGATAGGATGGGAATCTCATGGGCCGAGGATCATTAAAGCATCCTTCAAAACGAAGAAAGAGGACATTACAATGAACGTCATCCAATGTTATGCACCTACCAATGACTACAATGACGACGTTAAAGATCAATTCTACGAAAGGCTGCAGTCAATCGTCGAGAAATGTTCACCAAAGGATTTGACGATTCTTATGGGAGACCTGAATGCCAAGGTTGGAATGGACAACACTGGATATGAAGACATCATGGGACGACATGGACTGGGAGAAAGGAACGAAAACGGTGAGAGATTTGCAAACCTATGTGCCTTCAACAAACTGGTCATCGGTGGCACAATATTCCCGCACAAACGCATTCACAAAGCCACATGGATTTCACCGGATCACACTACTCAAAACCAAATTGACCATATCTGTATCAACAAAAAGTTCAGAAGGACCATGGAGGATGTGAGAACCAAGAGAGGAGCTGATATAGCTTCAGATCACCACTTGCTGATCGCCAAAATGAGATTGAAGCTAAAGAAGCACTGGACAACGGGGCAGACAACATCACAGAAGTTTAATACGGCCTTTCTTCGGGATACCGTAAAACTCAACGAATTCAAGATAGCCCTCACCAATAGGTTCCAGGCCTTTCAGGATCTACTCAATGGAGAGGAAGCAACATTGGAGAACAATTGGAAAGGGATTAAGGAGGCAATCACTTCAACATGTCAGGAGGTCCTTGGTCGCAAGAAACACCATCACAAGGAATGGATCTCTGTTGGTACTCTCTCAAAAATTGAAGAAAGGAGGAACAAGAAGGCAGCAGTGAATGTCAGCCGAACAAGAGCAGAGAAAGTTAAGGCGCAAGCCGAGTATACAGAAGCAAACAGGGCAGTGAAGAAGAGCATCAGAGCTGACAAACGAAAATATGTGGAAGATCTAGCAATGACGGCGGAAAAGGCTGCAAGAGAAGGAAACTTGAGACAATTGTACGAAACAACAAAGAAACTCGCCGGAAACTATCGTAAACCAGAACGACCAGTGAAAAGCAAGGAAGGGAAAATAATCAGCAACACTGACGAACAGCGAAATAGGTGGGTGGAGCACTTTAAGGAACTATTGAATCGACCAGCTCCACTGAACCCACCCAACATCGAAGCAGCATCCACGGACCTCCCAATTAATATTGGCGCACCCACGATTGAGGAGATCAGTATAGCCATCAGACAAATCAAGAGCGCCAAAGCAGCAGGACCAGACAACATTCCAGCAGAG